ATGTAGTCTTCGCATATTTGGTTCAATACGGTTTACAATGAGGCAGATGTGGTACATAATAGTATAAAATATGAATTTACTTTACAGTATATATAATATGTGGCATATATTGTATATATGGTATCGATTATAAAATGAATATATTATGAATTCAAAGTTATAATGAATTGGAAAAGAATTCAATTGAATGCATAATAAGAAAAGTCTTTTATGCAGAATATAAAAAAAGTTTCATTGAATTAATAAAAGCAATGCTTCACAATAGAGATCGAAATCTAAGTCATAATAATAATAATAATAATAATAATAACTGGGATAAAATAAAGTAGAGAAAGTGGGAGTACGACTAACAATTGATAAACAATTGGTAAGGACTGAGTGAGTGAGTAGTTTAGTGATCGACCAAAAAGTGGTCTCACTTTTCCTCACTTTTCTCTATTGAAATATAAATTTCATCAAAAGGTTGAACTGACAAAAGTGACAAAAATAATTCAATAATTCACTGCATATTATTGTTTGACAGCAAAACTTTTCCAACACTTTATTAGAGGAGTGCAATGAATAGGAAGACGACTACATATACAACAAACCCCAATATATCCAATGTATAGTTTATAGAGCACAGGCATCATATCATATATGGTATGGTTTGTCATCACATATATTATCCGTTTGCAATATCGTCATAACGAAAAATAACGCATTAAGTCAATCATCGGTTGGCCTTATATTGAAAGCCCAGCCCTTGATTTATGAACACCGGACTAAAGCTATTGTGTTTGAGCTGACAATTGTTAGCAAACCTGGACAATGACTGCCCTAATATCTCTGTTCATAAAGCGATGCCATACTATTCATTGTGCACAACATTTTTGTGCACAAAAATAATAGCAATATATAAGAATATATATTATATTATATCATATATATATTATCTATGTATTATATATTATATATTATTATATATAGATATATATAAGCAGTAAATTTAAATCACACCGAAAGCTATATTACATTCATAATAGAGTAAAGAATATAATATAGAATAGAAAAATAGAGAGAATATAATATAATGCAGTTTTCTATAGACTATTAGCAGACAATAGAGATGATAGCACTGTATGTCTGTTATGGTCCACACTTTTTATCCAATTATTGTTAAACCACAATGAGATTAACTTATCGTAAAATATGTGTTAAAATTCAACTTTGCATTTAACATCACATCACAAACAAAACAAATCAATAATTCATTAAAATTTAAATTCATCAAAACAAAACATCCATTATTATTTTATGACTATACAACACATAATATAATATATCAAATAGAAAATAGAGATTGCAGTTATTTATCATATAAAATTATCCCTTAAAAATCATTTTTAGTTTACCCATTTATTTTATATATATTTATATCATTAATTACAATTAGTTAAATATATTTTTATTACACTAATTATTAGCTTACCGGTATATAGCATATTTTAATATGTATAAATTTGCTAAATTTTTAATATTTGTTTTGTTATTTATTTTTAAAAACATACTAATTAATCAATAACTATTTCATACCTTCTTTTCTATTATCAAAATAGTAGTCAAATGTAAGATTTGTAAGCAAACGTTGTTGCATCACATGTCATCATATTATTATCATTTAGAGAGTTATAGCACTACTGTATAATCCAAAATAAAACTACTTAAAAATTTAAGCCACAATTAATCACTAATCAATAATAATAATAATTGTATTATCACACAAAAATATCACAAACCACTTTTCAATATATAAAACTTTTCAATAGTTTTAATTAAAAAATTAATTTTAAAAAACTTTAAAACTCACATTAGTTTATATACATTATAAATAAATTAGTTACAAAGTTATCTTATTTGATGAAATAGATTTCAATGAATTAAAGCTCATAAAAGTTATGTTTGGTTTACATTTAAAAATATTTTTCTATTTAATTTGTGATTAACAGAGAGCAACATATTTTTGTTGTTGAAAACTACTTAAATTGTTAGCACTTGTGGTAAATCAACACTGGATTTAGTGATCGGCGTGTTTAATGTTGTGGTGTGTTATGTATGTGAGTATAGTAGTCATCATTAACTCCAAGTGCCACCAGTGAAGCAATGCTTATCAGACTATATGTCATAACATAGTAAAAGACTTGTCTCTATCGTGTCTGAGCTGACTTGTGCTGACTGTGCGCCACTCACTCACTAACACAACTTACAGCACTGTATTATATAAGCTATATATTTGAGTGTTAGGAGTGATGCGTGAATTGAAGCTTTCAGTGAAAAATCAGAGTTACGTTACGTTATATTAAATAAGCAAAACTTTAAGTATTTCTAACTTTAATAACAATACAATCGGTTGTATAATAAAAAGTGTTTTAAATGCTATTGTAATTTCAATGTATTCATAGAGACTTACAATATATTGTGTGATTGCGTTTGCGTTGTACTAATAAAAATGATTGTTAAAAATTGTTAGCTCTCTCTCTCTCTCTCTCTCTCTCTCTCTCTCTCTCTCTCTCTCTCTCTCTCTCTCTCTCTCTCTCTCTCTCTCTCTCTTCATTCACTCATTATTGTCGACTTCCTTAGACATTCAAAAGATATTTTCATACTATTTCTGAAACAACTCTACCGGTTCTCAAACAACAACAATAATAATAAAAGTCAAATGAAAAGTACCTAAAAATGAGACAAAGCTTAGAGAAAATTATTTTGCAGTTATTGTAAGTATTGCTTAACTTTTTTTTGTTATTTAATAAAATCAATGACCAAAACAAGTGAAACACAATACTCTGGAAACACAATTAACTTATTGAATACATGTTTATAGGAATATATTGTATTATATATATAAATATACAGTATATTTATATACTATTTATATTTATAAATACTAAATATTTATACTAAATATACAATAATCTATAGATTTATAGACTGGTATTGTGTAGTATTCAGTGATTTGATTATTATATATCAACTAAAAAAAGAGAATTCATTTTATTCTTTGCGAGAATTCTTTTAAAAAACATTTCTTCAATTTTTATAATATTTTTGCTTTGATTCACACAATTGAGAGTTTGCTATAAAAAATAAATGTTATGTTATTCAAGATTTGGCTTAACATTAAATAACATTAACATTAAATGAAATGAAGAGAAATATTATATTTCAATATCGTTTGCTTTCAAATGAATAGATGTGAACAATAGTCTGCAATAAATAGGATCTGAGCTCAAGACTAGTGATGAAGAGTTGCCGTCAAAGTGGATGATATAACTGTTTAGAGTATACGACTTACTTAACGATACCAATGAATGGATGCCCTAAAAGAAGTCTTCGGACAATAAGAGTCATTGAAAAGACAGTCCTTTATTAAACTCTAACTAAAACTCGAGTCTTCGGACCACGAGATGAGTCTTCATTAAATTCAATGACATAACGTTTCCGGAAAAGGCAACAAAACAACTCAATCCCTGTCCTCTTGCGCTCCAATAGTCTGTAATACTAATGTAATACAGAGTAGTAATAATGAATTATTACGTATATTATATAAAATAACGCAATTATTTGTAATTAAATAATCGATATAAATAAATAAAATTTTAATTTTAATATAACTATTTTTTTATATTTCAACAATATTACAATTTTAATTTATTTTATAGATAATAAATTTGTTAATATTTATTTTCGTTATTCTTATTTCACTTAATATTAAAATTAAAAGTTATTCAAAATAAATGTTAAACTTTGCTGAACTTTTTGTTAATAACATATTCAATAATAACAAACATAATATTTATTCGTGATTAAAAATATAATTAGATTATATATATATATAATTTATATATAAAATAAATTATTTTTGCTTTTAATAATTTTAGTTAAAAGGTAAGTACTTATTAACTATATTAGCTATTATGTACTTCTTCACAAAGTGTTTGCATTTTGATTTAAATTAAAGTTTCCTCTCTTTTGTTAATTTAGTTTCACTATTATTTGTATTGAATGTATGGCAACAACAAAAAAAGTCTCATCAAAGAAGTAAAAGTCAGACAACGGACAGAATACTACTGAATCTGCAATTGAGTTGAGGATCGCATAAGACATCAATTTATTTATATTATAAACTTGCTTAACATGACTGTAGAGAACATCAAACATCTATTGAGTAAATATTTTTTTTCGGCAAAACTCAATACATAGTGTCGACCAATATTTGTGTGGATAGTTGTGTCACACAAACCTCTCTCTCTTTTCTCTATCAAAGTTGTCACAAGTGTTTAGATATTTTAGAAGTGACTGCAAACTTAAAGTCCCTTTTATTATATAATGTATTGTGTATTCAATTGAAAGCAAAATAAAATGAGAATAATATGTCTTATATATATATATATATATAGTATATACTATAGAATAATCAGAATAGAGGAAAGCCATATATGAGGACAGACACGCAAACGAGTGCCACAAATGAAGTACACTATCAAAAGGTCTGTCTTTTGGTTTCTTTGTGAACACCATTCATGAGTATATACATTGAAAGAGAAGGCAAATAATGAATGTAATCAACATAAGAGAGTAAAAGACCTTAATCTCAATGCAACGCAAATTTAGTTTTTGTAAGTTATTTACAGTATTGTATAGTCCTATACAGTATATATTGAATATAAGTATAAATACATTTATTACATTATATGTAATGCATAATAACTTTAAACTCCACTGAGATTTTTCTTTCATAAAATTTAATAATAAAATTTTATTTCTATTTTAAAATTATTTAATGCAATGAATAAAGAATACATAAATGATTCAATAAATACATTCTTTGTATTTATACTTCAAAAAAATTAAAATTAATTTTAATGTTAGCTTTAAAAAACAGAGATAATACACACATTTGACGACATACTGTATTGTCGTTGAATAACATTTTCAACAAAAATAAAAACAATATAATAAAAAATGAATCAAACAATTGTTTAATATAATTATTTTGGTTTAAAGAAACTGGAGATAGACTTCATTCCTGTTTTATCGACTTTTAACAGTTCCCGTTGTGATCGCGACATTTTTGTGCGCTATAATTGTCATACAATTAGTAAATCATAATATTAGCTCATTATGGACTCACCTTTGCATTTGGTGCCGAAGTATTCAATTGTTTGTATGAGGAATAGTCCTCCAAAGGACCACAACTTTCATTTTCGTTTGCTTTTCTCTATAAATTTCAAACAAACAATTTAATGGATCAATAATTGAGAATTCAATGATTCATGAAATTACTTTGATTTTAGTCATATCTTGTGGTGATTGAGTTGATTCACTTGAATGTGATGGCAATCTTTCGTGTGAAATGTCATTTAATCATTTAATCATTTAATGATTTTCATTTAGTTGTCAATATATACCTCAAATAATTTCTCAATTCATTGACGATATCGTCGCTTAGGTATTGAGATATTAATTCAAATGCCATTTGCTTGTATTCAACTAAAATTAATTGATTTTATAATATAATGTTAATTTGTATTCAAATATTTATCACAAACTTATTAATAGATGAATAATATTGTTTTAATTTTAAAAAGTGAATAATCAATGAAAAATATTCACAAATATTTTAAGAAATATTTTCATAATTTATTCATACTCATAAAATATAATCATTAAAATATTTAATGTTATTATTATACATATTATTAATATATTTTACAACTTAGATATAAATAAAAAATTCTCATTATTATGTAAATTTAAAATTACAGTAATAACAGTATATATATATATATATATATATATATATATATATATATATATATATATATATATATACTATAAGATTAAAATCATATTATAACTCTACTATTAGTGCTATAATTCTAACTTAATTAATATTTTTCTATTTAAACTGCATTTTTTCATTATATTGCTTTTAAGTAAAAATTAAGCATTTAAAAAATTAATTCAATGAAAAGATCAATAAAAATATTTTTTCAGATGATTTGATTTGTTTTTTAATACTTATTTTTTTGGAAAACTCGAAATCCAGTAAAGATTGTGATAACAAATGAAGGACAACAGTGTTATAACTACAGCATAATGTGAGTTGAATTTAAAATATACTTTAATTGAGACAACAAATCAAATTTGCGTTCAATTTTTAGACAAAATAAGTATATATCGTAAACTCGTTTTAATTTAAATTAACTAAAGTTTTTGTCGCCAACTTTTTTGACACGAAGTCAACTAATATTTTTTTAAAACAATGAGTCAAACAATTAAAGATTTGTCAAAAGGTCTACCAATTGAACCAATTCCTGAGTTAAAAACACGCAATGATAGGGTAAGTCACGCACCCATACGTTATGCCGATCTAACTCATGAAGAGAAACAACTGGCTGTAAGAAATGCTTTGCGATATTTTCCACAAAAATATCACTCAATTTTGGCCAAAGAGTTCGCACAAGAATTGGATCAATTCGGACACATCTATATGTATCGATTTATACCCGATTTCGAGATAAAGGCTTATCCTATCAATGAATATCCGGCCAAATGTGTTGAAGGGGCAGCTATTATGCTAATGATTATGAATAATTTAGATGAAAGAGTGGCTCAATTTCCTCACGAACTCATCACTTATGGTGGTAATGGACAGGTCTTCTCTAATTGGTATATAAATTATATTTATCTTATATTTATACAACTCTTTAATTGGAAAATTTTTAAAAAATAACATGATATATAAAACAAATATTTTCATTTAAAATCGATTTATTTACAATAATTTATATTGAATTTTATAGTTAAGCAAACTAGAAATTACGATATTAAACACCAAATTACAAAAAAATAATTAATTAAACCATGTACTGGTAATACTATAATATTAATTTTAGGGCACAATTTTGGATAACAATGAAATATTTATCTAATATGGAAACGGATCAGACATTAGTTGTAAACTCTGGACATCCGCTAGGATTGTATCCGAGCTTCAGTTGGAGTCCACGACTTGTTATATCAAACGGAATGGTTGTTCCAAACTATTCAAAACGTGAAGATTACGACCGATTCTTTGCACTGGGAGTCTCAATGTATGGTCAAATGACTGCTGGAAGTTATTGCTATATTGGACCTCAGGGTATAGTTCACGGGACAACTATCACTATAATCAATGCCGGGCGCAAATATCTGCAAACTAATGATTTAAGGGGAACTGTATTTCTAACTTCAGGATTGGGAGGTATGAGTGGAGCCCAAGCAAAAGCAGCAGTAATTGCAGGATGTGTTGGAGTAATTGCTGAAGTGTGTGAGGACGCACTTCTTAAACGTCAAGCTCAGGGATGGCTCAATGAAATCATTAGTGATTTGGATACACTCATTAAAACCATACGTCTTGCAAAATCTAATAAAATCGCCACAAGTATTGGATATTTGGGTAATATTGTTGATGTTTGGGAAAGACTAGTCAAAGAATATGAGAAAACAAATGAAATTTTGGTTGAATTGGGATCAGATCAGACCTCATGTCATAATCCATTTAATGGTGGATACTATCCGGTAGATCTCACAGTAGAAGAAGCGCAAACTATGATGAAAAACGATAATAAAAAGTTCAAACAATTTTGTCAACAAAGTCTAATCAGACAAATCAATGCAATCAATAGATTATCTCAATCGGGACTTTATTTTTGGGATTATGGCAATGCATTTCTATTGGAGGCCTACAGAGCCGGTGCTGATGTGGGCGCTGTTAACACAGCATTTGGTATTCAATTCAGATATTCATCATATGTTCAGCATATAATGGGAGATATTTTTTCATTGGGTTTTGGACCGTTCAGATGGATCTGTTCATCTGGTGATCCTCAAGACTTAGATACTACAGACAACATAGCATTAAACGTATTGAAAGAATTGTCCGAAAGAGATGGACTTCCAAAACATATAAAAGATCATTATTTTGATAATATTAAATGGATATCTGAGGCAAAACAACATAATTTAGTTGTGGGAAGTCAGGCAAGAATCTTATATTCGGATCAAATCGGAAGAGTTAGTATTGGTCTGGCATTTAACGAAGCCATCAAAAATAAAATAATCAAAAGTCCAATAATTTTATCGCGCGATCACCACGACGTAAGTGGTGCCGACAGTCCTTATAGAGAGACGTCAAATATTTATGACGGATCAGCTTTTACGGCTGATATGGCGATCACTACTGTAATTGGTAATTCTGGCAGAGGTGCCACTTGGGTGGCACTACATAATGGTGGCGGTAGGCATCAGATCTTTATACACTACTATTATCACTATTTATAAACTTAAAATTTATATTGTATAAGGTGTTGGTTTTGGTGAAGCAATCAATTGTGGATTTGGTTTAATACTCGATGGCAGTCAAGAATCACACAACAAAGTGCTTAATATTCTTAGTTGGGATGTATGTCATCATCTTTTTTAATTAATATATAAAAACATATATATTTGACACAAATTTATTAATTAAATTTAGGTTCTGAATGGTGTGAGTCGGCGCTCGTGGTCTGGCAATCAATTAGCAAAAGAAACCATCAAAGATATTATGCAAAACAATAGCAAACTGTGTGTTACAATTGCCAATGAAGTGGCAGATGATATAATTAGTGATTTGTAATCAAAATGCATAGCAATTGACATTACGGTAATTACATATACCGGTAATCCACACATAATACACATAACTAACAAATAAACAGTTAATAAGTTATATATAAATATTACTAACCTTTCTCTTGGTTTGGGTCTTCTTTGCCTGTCTTATATCCGCTGACTTTGCATCCACTGTATGAAACATTTACATTATTATCGATGAGTGCATCGACAGTCTTATCTGTTTTTGCCGACAAGTAGTCCATAGTTTTCTGACCATTATATCGGACATAGACCTCATCGCAATCGTCTAATTAATTAATAATTATATATAATATAATAAACACATATATTATTAAATTTACAGTAAATATTTAACTAACGTTTGATGTCTGCAATGCCATCAATATTCTTATTGATGGACGAATTGTTGATAATTTTATCCAAAACGGGTTTCTCAAAGATATCACTCATTATCTCAAACAACGAGTGATAATATTGTTGTTTCTGTAAATCATATTAAAAATAATCAATTTATTGGTCAAATAAAACAAGTGTTTAATACAAATGTTATATTACTTTCATAAGAAATGGCAATAAAATGAAGAGTATATCGATTGGAGTTATCACATAATAATCACCATCTGATCCAAAAAAACAACAATAATAATACATGACATGAGGTTTGCGGTTATTATAATGACCTGAAATGACATCATTGTTGACAAAGAATGACTGCAATGGATTGCTTTGTCGGACGCATTCAAAGAGTTGACATCCATTTTCATCCATTAGATATACTTTCTTGTCATTATCACTGTTATCATCATTGTCTTCATTGATGGTATTCACTGTAATCCATGTCAATGTCGGCAAACTTTGTTTTGCATCCAAACCTGAAGATCACAAACAGTTAACACAATAATTGTCGTATAAATCATTTAACATGTCTTTCAATACCTGATATGACAAACACTTTGGAGGACATCATCGACAACCACAACAATCACCAGTTAATTGGATGACAAACTAAACTAAATTTAACTAAATGTTGACAACAAATGCAAACATCAATTGTTTTTAAATATTACACAATAATTGCGATAAACTTTTGGCGCTTTTTTTCACTGCATTTCAATGAATGCGTTATTTATTTATTTATTTATTTATTTATTTATTATTGAATTGAAATTGTGTTTTGATTTTAATACTAAAGCATGACTTTTAATGATAACATGTTTTGCCATTTAATTTAAATGTGTTTATCATTAGTTTGACATTAATTATTGCACTCATTATCATATCTTCCTCAGTGGTGATGATCCACAGTTTGGCTCATCATCAACAACACAAGTGATACAAATATATATTTTTATTTTGGTTTATAATCATTTGATCCAATTGATCCATGGATTGACATACCATTAGTGTTTGCAATTACTCATTATCTACTCATTGATCATCGATAAGGTTGTGTCAGTCAATCACTTCAAGATATTTAAGATTTAGCTGATGTGACACAAGTATCCGGATTTAAAATTACCATAAAATGTCTCGAAGAAGTACCACACTGTCGAAGAACTTACTGCAGATGAAGTTTATGCACAGAACTAAAGAAAAAACTGAAAAACAATTGAATGAACAAAGAAATGATGAATTACTTGATCAACACTTTGATGATAATGACGAACTCGAGTCACAGAAGTATATCATAAATACTAGTTATGTCTATTGTGAAGGACTCAGATCTGGAAGAATGTCATTCAGAGGTATGAATCCAGAGGTGGAAAAATTAATGCAAGAAATTGATGAAAATGACGACAAAGATAAAGAAGACAACGATAATAATGAGAAGAATACTACTCAAGATGTTAGTGATGACGAAATGGCAAATAGATATTCAAAACTAATGTCAGATTCGGCATCTGGTCATCGAAAAAGAAATCACAAGAATTTTAATAGACATCATATATCTAATAGTAAACGATTTAAACCAAATCGTTGACAGATTTATCAATAAATTATTATTAAAAATATAGACGTTTTGATAAAAATCATTTTAATGAAACATTTCTTATAAATATTTAATGACTTGTTTGTTGTTTACAAATAAAATTTGGTTTCAAATCTGTTTTATGTATAAAGTGGTCAAATAATTTGTGTTAAATATTTAAGTTATTTTTTTAATAAAATTGATTTTATAATGATTTATGAAATAAAAAATATACAATAGACATCTATAAACTTTTTATAATAATTAATAATAATTACAAAATATACTAATGAAACAAATTGTTTTTGCTTAAATTTCAATAATCATAATTAATGACTCATTATTTTCAACATTAACTTATGGTATGATAAATATAAATAACAGTATATTTACATTAATAAAAAGGCAAAATTGATGTACTATTGCAATGAAGCATAAAATGCCAGCGCTTTGTTATAAGCCTTTTGTAGGGCTTTCTTATCAATGGACTTCTGGTTCTGATTTAACTTCTGGTTGTCAGTACTCGTTTCAATGCCCAGTGGTTCCAACTTATGTCGTGCCAACCAATGCCTATCAATTATAATCATTTCATTTAAATATTACAATCAATTTAACAATTGTTTAGTTCGTATAAATACCAAGAGTTCTTATGTTCGAAAAAATAAACTAAATATTGATTGTGTTTATCCTTAGCCAACGCCAGTACCTCTTCAGGTGGAACAGGTGTTCCATTAACTGGAGAATTGGAAACTGAAGAGTTTGAGTCGACAATCTGATAATATATATATAAATAATAGCACAATAAATATATAATGTTTATTAATAAATGGAAAAAATAGTTATACCACTGCTGGATACCAGGGTTGGTTACCAAACTTGGCCCAAACCAAGTCATTTGGTTGTAACGGAATCTTTTGATTTTCTATCGTTGATATATCTGAAGATCGAGATCTGGGTCCTAATTGATAAAACAAAATAACAATTTAGACATTATTTAATTTGGTTTAATTGGACTCACTTTTTGGTGATTTTGCTTTCCGACAACTAACTCGACTACTTGTTCCTGAAGAACCCAATGATGATAGCGACGAGTTTGAATCGGATGATTCGCTCGAACCCGAAGTTTTTGATGACGAGCTCGAAGTATGAGATTGAGAACTCTCGGAGATTATGTCAGAGTCGGGAGGAGACGACACTAAATATATAAATATAGTTATATAATACTATAAATTATAGACTATAAAGTAATCCCAAATTGACTTACAATTTCTATATACTTTAAAGCTGTCGGCTTCAGACATCAATGGTGTTGTAATTTGTGAATCTATTAAATGCATTGAATTAGAGGTGTTTTGTCTTTTATTTGGTCGCGAAGAACTTCGATTCGATCGGCGTTTTGACCCTAAAAAAGTGACATTTCATATAAATATTGACAAACATTTCAAATAAATGTAATACTATTTTAATTATTATTATACCTGTGGTCTGTCCTTTGCTGACCTGTTCTCTAGCAAACGATTCGGCCGTTTCAGTAAACATATTATTGGGCGTCAGTGCCGGTGAATCAATGATTGGCGAACTCTTAGGATTAGTTAGTTTAGAGTTTTTACTTTTTCGTGAATTAATTTTATCAGAAATTAAATTAATGGATAAGTTTGAGGTGATTGAGTTGGGAGACAACGAGTTAGTCAATGCGGAACCGTTTAACTTCTTTTTTGTATTAACTCGTGTTTTGTTTTTAGGTGATGACTCTGTAATGATAGTAATAACAACTCTCAAATAAATTCAATGTTTATTAATAATTTTAAAAAACATTAAACTAAAAAACAAACCTTTATTATTATTATTATTATTAACAGATTTATTGGGGGATTTATGTTTAATGTTATTTTTAAATAAACGTTTTGAAGGAGATTCTATACAATTAAAAAATAATAAATAAATAATAGAATTAATTATATTATTATGAAATTAAACAATTATTATAATCAAGACCTTTATGAGTGGTTAAAGATTTTTGTTTATTATTATTGCATTTAATTAATCCTTCGATTTCTGAAGAGTTAATACTAGCAGAAACTGAATTCAATGTCTTTCTGCCTTCAAATTTGTCGATAAAGTTATTAATATTTGAATTATTATTAGTTATATCGTTAGTATCAGAATCACTGGAATCAATTGGTTCAACATTTTTCACTTTTGTTGTCGTCTTTTGTTTCTTTTTGTTTGGCGATGAGGTCCTACTGTTTGTGCTGCCATTGTTAACATTACTGGATGTAATTGTTCTGTTAGTCTTAAATGGACTTTTATTCAATGTATGACTCGAGTTGATTGACTCGATTTTGTCTTTGAGTTTTGCGATATCGGCGGTCAAACTCCTGACTCGTTTAGTGCGGGAACCGCCAGACTTCTGTGTTTTTGCTTTCAACAAATCTTCTTCTAAAACTTTAAGCTTTACTTCGAGTTGTTTTTTCTCCGATTGAATTGGACTGACATTTGTTGCTGATATCTGGATCTCATTTTCAGTCAAATGTAAGTGCAATCCGGTTGTTGTGTTATAAATCTCAGCCATTTTCTTAGCTTCTCTAAGAATACTCTGTGACTGATCCGCTAGTTTGAGGGCCGCCTTATGCCAAATGGTTTCTTTAGTGTTATATTCGGTACAGTTATTAATAATTAATTGAAAATCACGAATCAATTCAATTAGAGAACTATATTGGTTTTGATTAATCTTTTGTCTAATTGTACTGAAATCCATTGGATGTTTGATAAAATCGAGATAATCGGAAACATCTTCGACATTAACGGGTTCAGCAAAGAACTTATTGGTGTCTTTATCTTGAAGTCTTTGCAAAAGATTCAACAAAAATGCTTTAAAAGGGTTTAGTTGTAGTTCGACAGTGTTTTGTCTGATCTTAAGAAACTCTCTCTTCATTTTTTCGCGTTTGCGAATTAATTCGACTAATAGTCTCACTCTTTCCAAGTCTTGTCTCAATCTATTCATTGTTTTCAATTGTTCTTTAATTTTCATCACTTGTTCATCGTCTCCGTCCTTATTTGAATCGCGTCTAAGATTGTTGTGTGAAATTTGAAGTCTTCTAAGAAGTGGTACTCCATTTCTTGATTGTCGCTTAAGAGTCCAATAGCCAAGAAGTCGCTGTAAAAAGAGATTTCGTTTGGGTATTGTCACTAAAACAGCAATCTTTGCCAATCTATCCAAAGGAATTGTAGGAACAGAAACAACAGGTATTTGTGATCGTTTTTCAGCTAATATTTTGCGCGCTTTCTTCATCTTCTCCTTAAACTTGGCTTTTGTTTGTTTGACTTTATGATTATCAATACGTGAGTCTTCTTCGCCCGAAGAATATACACCACTCAATACAATTCCATTTTCATCTGTCGGTGTATGTGTATCACAATAGGCGGCTTTCCTAACGTTAGTGACGAGACCATTGGATGTCATTTCTTTGACGGCTTCCATCTTCATATAGAGACCGGCCTGTTGTGCACACGTCACGTGAAACGCTACATAACAGTTGGATTTGTGACATTGAATACAAGCGCCGACATTACGCTGTTTGCAGATATAACACGAAAGTTTCCATCGGGCAGATGGTATGTTACCGATGCTGTCTATGGGTTCTAAAAACACTGTATTTGCAAAACAAACTTCTGGTATCCAAAGTGCACAAACAACATGAGACCAACGATTATCGTCAGTTTGTTTAAAGGCTCCGCCTTTGTTGGGACACAAAGCACAGTCAACAGCTCTGGATGGAGATTGAAGACATCTTCTACAAAGCCACTGACCCTCTGGTATATAAGGAACGCCATAACACTCCTGATGAACGGCAAGATTACACATATCACAGAACAGAATGGCATTCGAGTTTTGACACTCGCCGTCATTACAAATACAACAAACGGCGTCTTCATCAATGGCGGGACCTATATCTTTGCCACTGTTTTGACTCAGAAAGTATGACTCTTTCTCAAGTCTGTCCATCAATAGTTCAAACGTGTCGGCAGGGATTTCAGGTAATTTGTCGACTTTACGCTTCTTATTGATCAATTCGAGCCAAGCCGTGTCTTCTTCATCCATATCATACTCTACTTCTTCGTCAATGTCGTCGATAGTCTTTTCGATATATCTGTAGTAAGAAGACGACCGTTGTTTGGCGTCTGGCGGGTCATAGCCTTCTATTATTCTGAAGGAAGGTTCGGGTAATTTCAGTATTAAACTGTTAGGTTTCTCAGTCACAGCTGTTTGTTTCGATTGAAGATCTTTGCGTCCTTTACCACACTTTCCGCTTCGATTCTTTCCTTTGCCGGTCTTAGTCTTGGCGCCGGAGTTTGCATTGGTTTGAGGTGTCAGTTGACAGTCAGACAAATGTTTTTTGCTTTTACTATCACTGAAACTGTTGTTCACTGAATTGACACTTCCATTGATAGGTACATCAATACCGACGCTCAACAACACTATATTTAACGGTTCGTTGATATTAATTCTGTGGACTTTGCCGTCGATGTCCACTTCGACCAGTCGTTGTGCTTCGGCGTATGTAAGCGTTTCTCTGTTATTATTATTACTACGATAATCGGGTGGTGACGGCGATCGGTCACCAAATGATGGGTCATCACAATTGCCTTTCTTTTTGTTTATTAATTCATTATTAGTTTCATCTGTCATTTGTCTGTTGTTTATGTGATCGTATTGATGCATATGAGTCCTCATTCCTTGGTATGTCTTATATATTTTATGACACTTCTCGAAGGGACAGACATACGGAGGTTTTGTGGCCTTAATGTTGGACAGGAAAGCCTTGATATCCAAGTCTAACATTGTGTGCATTTTGATCTTGTCTTCAGTTTGATGTCCACTTCTTCACTGAAAACATACATCAAATGCAATCAATCAATGAATACAAACCAATTGATAGTCTCATTGATAGACAATTGAGTTATAATTCGAATAACAAATCAATTGATGTATAAAACACTTGCAATCAATATATCAGTCATTTATTCGTCAATTGTTTCAATCAATTGATTGCAATTTCAATGATATTTCAATCGATTATATTGTTTAATAAATTCTAATTGAATGTCAATTATTATTAACTCATTGATTATAATGAGTGGTAGTATAGTGTCTATAGAGTACTGTAATGTAATAAGTATTGTATAGTATATTGTATTGTATATACATTTGTGTGCAATACAAACAAATCCAATACAAAATGGGTATCCAATGAACGCCACAAAACGCGGCCAAAACATAACCATTGATGCGGACGATATACAACTGTTTTGGCGCTTACATAGAGTACAGTTTGCGTACTAAACCTATAACTTATAGTTAATGCAATTGTTGTGTTAATAGTCAACAATATATTCTATTGTATGTTATTCTAAGCACTATTACTCAGTCAGTGCTCACAAAGCAATCAACGCATCGGTCGAGTGTTGGGCGGACTCAGTGCTAGTGTTGTGACGTCATAGCAGTCATTGAATGTATAGAATAGTGTTGTAGTTATTATAGACTATGTATTGAATACAACATTGAAATGCATTCAAACATTCAAACAGTGCTTTCATTGCTTGAAAAACACAGCAAAACATTGCAAACGACTAAACATTTTTCTGACGCCATTTAACATCAATTGAGGTCAAACTCAACGGTCATTCAAATTGTCATTACGGGTGAGTCGGACAGTGTTTATGCCGTACGGGTTCGGGACGAAAGTCACAACCATTAGTTCGGTCGCCAAATGTGTGCAAATGTAGTCAATTTGTAGCCAATTATGTCATCAAAGATGGCGTCGACTCACGTCTTGTCACGAACACCACCACAGTCTCGACTCCGCCCACTCACGCAATCATTGCCTTTGACTGTACTGTCGACTCACGCACTACTCGACCATTGATTGGTCCGTTTGTGTCAATTGACAGCCAATGACAGCGTTTGGCACACATTTGGCGCTAATATTTGACTTGAATTTCAATTAATTTATTTTGTTATTTCATTTGATTATAGATTTCAATCTCAAGAGTCCATCAATTGATAGCAAATAACTCATATATTATTAATAATTTTTTTTGTCAATAGTTTTAATAATAAAGTAATTGAAAAAACAAAACAAAAATGTTATATTTGGAGGATTACTTGGAAAGTATGTCTTAAGATAATCAGTTCCGATCAATCAGTTATAAGAAGTTTAAAACATTCATTTTTGGATCAAATAAATGCTAAATAGATAGTCATATGAACCATAAAACAGTGTCCATTTGTAGTCAATATAATTACATTTTTAGATAATGACATGCAATGGATGTATCACTTCTTATAGTTGATTGAGTTTCGGTGATTCATGAGATGTAATGATAAAAGTAAAAAACAATCACTGAATGCATGCATTGAAACAAATGATAAATAATTGATATAAACTGTAAAAGACATTGAATTAATTGCAATCACTTTATAATGTCTTGTAGTGATTGAACATTTGCCACAAGAACTGAGAGATCGCTTTACAGAAATGCGTGAAATGGATCTTCAAGTTCATAGTAAGATACATATTAATTGATATCTTCCATACCTATGCTGTCCATACTATTGTGACCATCAGTTGTGATATCAATTGCAAAATATTGATGTCTTGTGTCATTAGACGCGATGGACAATCTCGAAGATCAGACCAAACAGTTCTTCAGTAATGCAAAGCACATGAAAGTGGAACAGAGAGACATTGAATACGACAGAATCAAACAGGTTTGACATTGATTTGCACCACAAAATACACTGAGTTTTATCGGTTGAGTCAATCAATTGAAGGATTACTACAAATCGTTAGAAGACGCCGAGGAAAAGGTCAAACTGGCGAATGAGATCTACAGTATGGTTGATAAATATCTTAAACGATTAGATCAAGAATTACAAAAATTTAAGATTGAATTAGAGGCCGACAACTCTGGAATCACTGAAATACTTGAGAGGAGTCAGTATTTTTTGTTATTAACCAAATCAACTAACAATAGACTAGTAATGTCCACAAAACTCAATAATATCATTGATTTTAAACAAATATTTCTTATATACTGCAACTAACAAATAATTTTCATATATTATAAAAATACACATAAACTCTTTAATTAGTAATAGTTTATTTCAAATTAATCAAATATTTTATAATATACAACGTATTAACAATGTTTAACATGTAATATACAAAATTTTACTGAACTACGTAAACCTATCTTTTAAATAATTATTTATTAATTCAATTTTGTGGGCATTACTAGTGACTATGTATTGACTTTTGATTGACTTATTGCACATATCATTGCATTTAATCAATTGATTAACTAATGACATGTATTAACTGTAATATTTGAAGTCAAACATTAATCAATCAATCATTTGAATAGTCATTGTCTAATAGTAACTAAACTGAATGTTAAACTAATGTGTCGACTATTATGGATTTATCTCTTTATTAGGATCTCTAGAGTTGGATAACCCGCCGCCCGTTACTGTAAATCACGTACGAGAGAAACGAAAGTATACTCACCATAATAGCAATAATGTCGGTTCCAATGCATATTCCACACCATTTACGGACAAACATCATATGAGTTCATCTGAAAAAGTTCTCTCAACCATTGCTCAAGAAATATATAAGGGGACAGTTGCCACACCTAATACACTATCTGGTGCTTCGGGTATAATCACCAGTTCCAACATAACAAACAACAAACTCAATTCTAATGCATTTACACCGTTACTATCAGTTGTCGGCAATAATAGTTACGTTAACGGCGGCACAAACTCGGCTATAAACTCACAATTTTTAGCGAACCCTTCTTTCTCTGAAAAGGGCAATCCATCCAATAGATCTCTACCTCACGGGTCAATTAATTACGGTAACACTGCCATAGCTGCAGCTGCTTCTCAGGCTATCGCAGCTACGCAACAGGTAATACTACTATTTATTATTAGTTGAATTAATGATTTAATAATTTAATTGTTTTTGTTTTGTATTAAAAGATGCAACAGGGTAGACGTACGGCCAGCTTAAAGGCCAGTTACGAAGCGGTCAATTCGGGCCAAATGTTCAATAGTTTTAATTCAATGCGTGATAATAGCTCTCCAAATGACTCGTTTGGCGGCTCAGACCTACTCAATCCCAACTCTACCTATAAATATGATTCATTAACCAATAAGTCTAACCGACCCAATAAACGAAGCAGAACTAGTCAATACGCTACGGATATTTCAATCAATACTAATCTCTTTGAAACAGATTCTGAACCAGTAATGGATAGCAATAACGGTGCTCCCGATTGGCCGTATGACCCGAATGAGCCCCGATATTGTGTTTGCAATCAAGTGTCATATGGAGATATGGTTGCCTGTGATAATGAAGATGTATGTCTTATAAATATATTTATATTATATTTATTTAATCATTAATTGTATTTCAGTGCGAAAAGGAATGGTTTCATTACGGATGTGTCGATATAACACAACCGCCTAAAGGCAAGTGGTATTGTCCCGAATGTACGGACAAACTTAAACTCAAAAAGAATCGCAAAGAGAGACGGGATAACTGATTACTAAAAATAGGGTTTCAACTAATTTACAATAATTATTATACAATTGATTTATAGAACTATTTGTTAACATTTCAATTTTGTGATCAATTTATTTGATTAGTTTGTTATTAAAAATAAATTATTATACAAATTACAAATAATTACTGTATTGCCGGTAATTAAAAAATAATGTAATGAATTAATCAAATTAATTATTTAATTGGTAAACAATTTCGTCGTCACTCGAATGATCACTTGAATGATCGGACAGCAAAAGCAACTCATCGTCCAAACCGTCCGATTCATCCGAGTCTTCATTGCTATGTTCGCCATCGCTATCATCATCGCCTGACTCTTCTCCGTTGTCTAAATCAAATTCTTCTGTGTTATCAATGTTATCGTCATCAGTATCTTCATCGGCCACATCATTCTCGTCGTCGTCGTCTTCTTCATCATCTTCTTCGTCGTCTTCCTCTTTAGATCTTCCGATTTCGAAGAGTCGGGCAACTGATTCATTGGCAAACGAGTCTCGATTGTTCTGATTCTCAACCAATGCTATGTAACAATCGCCCGCATCGACAGCTAAGTCATAGATACTGCGTTTGATATCAATGGTGGCAATACTCGAATAATCGTATGCATCAAATGTACGAAAAGATAAACCAAAAGGACTTTTTGATGAATCCTCTTCTTCAGAGGTTTCCTCTTCAAAAACAGCTATCAAATAATTTGATAAATATTTTATAATTTAAATCAATAATACTGTATATAGATATTCAATAAAATACCTCCATATATGACATCTCCAATGTTGTTAAACTTTATTCGACACTATAATACAGTATAAAATTAAAAGTATAGATAAGAAAACTGTATTTTTAAATAATAAATCAATTGACAAAACCTGATCCAATGCGGGCACTGTCTTCAATAAATGGAATGTCTTTATGTCCCACTAAAACATTTGTCAATTCAAATAAATTATCAGTAAATTATATAATCAAATGATTCAATTGTATAAAAACATACGATTTCAGAGTTTGAGATGATTTCCTGACCATTTGGATGAAACACACCGTTAATGTGTTGATTAAATTTATCAAACTTATGGACAGGTGTTGCACGGCGTGTATCCCAAAGAACTCCATCATTGAGTATGAGATCATCTGATGGATGAAAAGTGGCTCTATTTTTGACGTAACGATTTGATAGATTCTCGTCTTGATATGTGTGAACCAATTTACCAGATGTAAGATCATATAACTAATAATTTGTGACAATTATATTAATTATTGTTTCAATCAAACTAATCAATTGATTGCATACATGAGCTGCAAAATCCTTGGTTCCCAACACTTTGTCCTGACTTTGTTTTCCAAACTCTACATAATAGTCGTCACGAAATGGAAGTCTAGAAAAACAAAATTCAAGATTTAGTATTATTTTTAAATTTAAAAAAACATTAAATAGTACTTCATTTCAAAGACATCAGTGAATGTCCATAAAGCGGACAGTGGTTGTCGCCATAGAGATGATGTGAGTATTAGTTTTCCGTCCTTTTTTCAATTAAAAATTATATAAAATTAAATTTATAAATTAATTACCGTTAAATCTCAAGTTAGTATTGACTTACTCGTGAGGGTTCAATATGAGTTATTTCCGACTCGTGGCAATTATAAGTGGCTTCGAGCTATTGTGAGATTAACATAAAATTTGAATTAAATCATTTAATTGTGGTATTGGTTATAAATGAACTAACAGTTCCCGAATGTAGATTAAAAGCGGCTAATTCTCCACCGAGTGTTCCCAAAAACAAGAACTGGTCGACAAACTGCAAATACAAATTCATGTCATCGTTATTACCAAAAAGTATCTGTAATTTAACAATTAAATGACTTACAGAAAAAGCACAACTTGAGAAACTACTGCTAGATTCTGGATCTCTATACGAACGAATGGGTCGAAATCGGCTATAAATGAATCGGCGATCCATTTTAGAGCCATTTAAACCACCAAAACGAGGAAATACACCTCTCCTTTGAAGTCTTGTTGTAATATTAATTGGCGCTAAATTCCTATTCAATGGTTCTGGACATCGATGTGGAGTAAACAACTCAAATGGTGGACACGTGACCACCGGATTCTTGCAGAGAGCGTGTTGTTTACGAAGATATTCAGTTACAATAGAATCTAATGATATGGAAGACTGTGGCTGAGATTGACTCGACTGTTCGGTTAATCTTTTCATTAGTGGTGACGATGGGTGAGCTGTTGGCTGCAGTTTTCTCACACTTAATGGTTTGATACTGTTTTTACTTGAAATCTGACGATGTATACGAATTGGTACACTAGAAGATTGACAATTTGGACTAGAAGTAGATGACAACAAGTTTGTCATTACTGGAGTAACACATCGATTTGGAGTCAAAGAGTTGTTATTATTATTAGTTTGTGAATTGATTGGTGTGTTGTTGGTTAATGTACTGGGAAGTGGTGCAGTCGATATGGGACGAGACTGTAATTTGCATTTTATTAGATAATTTCAATTATAATCAAATAACTATTCATTTACTTACAACTCGATTGTGAGACAAAGGTGTTGTCGGCCACAATGTATTCTTATTAGTATTAATTTTCGGAAGATCTGCTTCGGTGTGAAGCAATTGTGCTGTTTTTGATAAACCTTTTTTGGTTAAGTGATGATAAATCAGTTGCAATAATTCTTTTTCGTTAAATTCAATTCTCGTTTGAGCGACAACTTCAGCCTATAAAATATAATTATAAATTTTTATGAAATATTATTATCTATAAATTATTATTTTTTTAAACTAATAAATATTTACTTTATTGATGTTTGCAATACTAGTTTCAAGATTAGTAGCAACGGGAGCGCCGGTAACTCTTTCAATCAGTTCAATACAGTATTTACAGAACTTTATGTGTTCTGTTCTCTTATCTTGAAGAATAGGTTCTTTCATAAGTCCCTGGATTTGTCCGTTTGTAAAAAGTGGTAATTTTGACACTATTTGTCTCACAGTCTCACTTCGGGCTAAACCACACAACGCTTTACAACTAAGCGCCCGAATAGAGTCGGCATCGGTTATGGGTGTCTTAACCATTAATAGGTTAAGACAAATCATAATTCCATTATTACTTCGGACACAATTCCACATTTTGGTTAATAAATCTTCTCCGCTACGAATTAACCTTTTCTTAGCACTTCCACCAGAAAGTTTGGCAATTGATCCTCCAATACGATGTAATGGTCCACAAACACAGTTTATAATAACATTTAGTGCCGATCGTTGACAGTCTGGATCGGCAACTATTTCTCCCTCAGCGGCTGCTAATATAATTCTTTTGCACAGAAAAATATTATTTAAATAATCTCTTTTATGTTAAATAATCTATTAATACATACCTAATACCAACAGTGCTTTGATTTTCATCCCCAACCTGGACAGCATCGCAAAGTACACTTTGAAACTTTGGTGTAACACTACAAACCACGAGTACATCCAATGCACTCCTGACTGCTTCAGCCCTTTAAATGACATCCAATTTGTATATAAATAAAATTATTTCAAATTATTTATAACTTACTTTCCGGTAAAATTCCAATCAAATGATACAGCAATCAGTTGTATCAATAGTTTAACTCCACTTAATTTGATCAGTTCATCGACTGGTTTCCAATTGATTCTGATTGGCATCAATTCAAGTAGTGTTTCCACTCTTTCCATAATAACATCATAGCTATAACGGGTTGACTTATAAAGCGGTACATTAGCGCTGACCGAGTCCTTAGCACTGCCCGATTCAAAGCTCGAATAAGAAGACGACCGACGAAGTACTTCAGCCTCGACCAGAAGGTGGGCTTCAAAGTAACGCTTAAGAGCCACACAAACGGTTCGTGCGTTTTGTCGTTGTGTAAACAACTCGTCTTCGGTATATTCGGTTTCATCAGAAAATATGTCCAACAAAAATATCTTAGAAAAACATTTACCGGTATATAAAAAAAATAATTTTTAAAATTTAAACTTAGATTTTAGATAAATTAATTAAATTAATACCACATTTAATAATTTTCTGAGTCCGTCCTGACTATCGAATAACTCTAATATCAATCTAAATGAAAAACTAAGACTAAAAAACATCGTTGCGTGACATCGACTGGAATCGTGTGAACACTCCAATAGCCATAAAGCATAGGCCACTAAATCGTTGAGAACGTGTTTCGGTAAAAGACATATCTGAAAATGATATTACGGTTAATAGAAATTAATTTAAAAATATATAAACTATTTTAATAATAAATACCTTTTCCATGGCATCTTCATTATAAGCTAAATAATATAAGCAAATTGAAACACCAGTGGCTGCCACTGATGGCCGATATATTTGCAACAATTGTTGTAATCCACCGGCATTTAGAAATTCTAACGCAAACTTCTTATGACATAAAAGTGATGCCAAATACTAAATAATAATAAATTTTTAAAATGCTATTTATATATACCTTATATATATATATATAATAACGGGTAATGCAAATATACAAACCTTGAGTGCATCAAAAGCAAGTCTGATATCTTTGTTTTTCGGTAAATCAATGTAATGCATAATCAATGAGAGAGCGTTGTGTTCAAAAACAAAACAAAGCATCTCTTGATAGTCACCCATTGGTGTCAAGTATTGCAAAATAAATCGTTGTTTCATTTCTTCAGTCAAAGGATAGACTTTGGATGAGCCGATCATAAATGGCTCGACTTCAGCCCAACTGCTGTTTGAACACTCGCTGTTATAAGTGGACGGCGAAAGGGCTGAGAAATTAGTAGGACTCGATAGTCGACGCCTTTTGTTGAGATCCGGTGAACTCGATTGAAGAGTTCGCTTACCGGGGGTTTTATTTAAAGATTCTGTGGGAATGTCTGTTAAATCAGTTCTTGATTTAGTTATTGTTTTAGTTGGACTCAAACTATTTTTGTTTAAATGATTGAACGGTCGATCAGTTAAATGGTTTTCATTGGTTTCAACATTTTTGTTGCGCAACTCTTTCAATCTTTTTAACATAATTGGTAAGAGTCTTGCATTTTGGTCTTTAGAATTGGTAGCGATGTCTTGTACTTCCATAGCTGCGGCCAATAGGCCCGTAGAGTATGACTGTAACGGATCGGACGCGCTTTCAGCCCATTGAAAGAGCCTCTGCACTAAACCATCCTATTTATTGATAAATGTTTTATTTGAATGTAAGTTAGTTTAAGACATAAACTAAGTTATGATAACATAAGACAATTAAAATTACCGTTTCATTGAAGACAACCGAAGTCTCTAAACCGGGCAATATATCTAACATTAAACGACAGGCGGCTATCTGTAAGTTAGTGTCGTCCCTATGCATCACATAATCATTGACTAACTGTTGGGATAATTAATCAATCAATTGGTTTATTCATTAAACAAAATATCATATAAATTAGTGGTAATACAAAATATCGTCACTTACTTTAGTCATGAAGTCGTCGTTTCTGAACAATGTCTTCAATACGAGACCAAGTGAGCAGTCAGGTCTAGCTCTGCTGGGATGTCTGTTATCAAACGGGTCCGGATCCATCTTCACAAACGCCTCCGTCTCCTTCTCGACCAACTCTGCAATCCTATCATAACATAACATACAAACAGTTCAATCAAATGCCATCCATTGTATTCATCCATTGATATCATACTTATTGAGACAATTGACCACTTGATCGGAAGTTCGGCAGTCTTTATGCCAAACATCTAACCATTGGTTCAATTGAGTGATACTATCGAGTAATGCCATTGTCTTCAGTAGTGTTTTTGACCACAAATTGTTAGTACAAAATGTTAAGACAATAATAACTTGTAATAATGTTATAAATAATATTTGAAAAAAATAAAATACAATTTAATTGCATATAAAATAAATTTGTTATCACTTTTAATAAAAATCTATAGAAATCATTGATTGAGTCATTCAATTGACTCAATAATGAATATAATTTAATAAATTAACTAAAAATAGTTTTTCACAAAAACACTAAAAAAGACAAAACGTTTTGAAAACAAATAGAAAAAAGTTTTGGAAAAACTATGACTTAAAGTATATGTTATTCAATCATACAATTAGATTGTGTGGTCAATGACTAATGTGTCCATCAATTGTCACAATAGAGTCAATCATTTTTATGGACATAAAACTAAACACATATTTACAGTTAACTTAACATTTAATTTCCAAAACAATTCATATATTCAATACTAATGTCCGGCAAAAAACACGTTTTACTCATACAAAGTATTAATACATTCTGTTTCCTAATGTTTCTGTAAATTTCTACAATTTTTCAAAATTACTTTACAATCAAATGCATACATATTTCTGAATAATTTTCTATAATTTTACTGAATTAATATTAATTATTTTGTATATTTCTATAATATTTATTATTAAATTACTAATATATTATAATTAATAAAATTACCCATGATAATTCAATTATAGTTTAGGAACATAGTTCCCGTTGATATTATATTAACAATTAGTGCGCATGCGTTGTAGCATTGAGTCATAGTTATGCACAAAATTATAGTTTGCAATGTTTTTTCATTACAAATGATTATTGTATGTTAGATATAGTGTACATACAGTACAGTATAATAGAGTTATTGTAAACTTTGCAAAACAATCGCTTATTTTTCCGAAATCACTATTTTTATGGTTAACTTGTAATACCTATAGTATTATTTTGATGGACTTGGATGTCATATAACACCAATACTATTGATGTCATACATCCCGGACAACATTGATTGACACTATTGATGATAAAACTTTTAACCAAATAATAGTTTTTTTATCATACATTTACAGTATTTATTAAGTTTGTTATATTAAATTTAAACTAAAGTACAGTACAGTATATAAATTTTATCCATTAATTTAGACAATATAATACAAATTACATTTGAACTACACTTTTGATAATTCTAGACAATTTAGACAATTCTAGACAAACTGTTTAATTTTTATAGAAATTATTAAAAAATTTAACCATGGTAAACTATAATATTATATTACAACTTTATACAGTATATTCATATAAATTGTTTTACATTATATTTAATAGATATGTAAAAATTACTAAATATAAATAATTTTATAATTTATTAATTTTATATTTTAGCAAAAATAATGGATTTTTGTAAACTTAAAGGCTTTAGTTTAATGGATTCAGACATATAATCATTTGAATAGAAAGCCTGTTCCGCATTAATCCATAAGCGTTCAGTTAGACTGATATTTAATTTATTTAAGACTTGATTGGAAAGATTGGGAACAATTGGTTGTAAAAGTATTGAACAAACTCTTAATGTTTCTAAAGTTATATACAAAACCATTTGGAGTTTGTATTCTTCATTGTCTTGTTTTGCCAAAAGCCATGGTTTCATATCATTAAAGAAATTGTTATTCATTCGCAAACAATTCATAATTTCATTGATAACTAAATGAAAATTTCCACTTAAATAATAATCTTTACAAATTGTTGGCAATTGTTTTGTCAAATTAATTAGTTGTAATGATTCGCATTCAACTAGTTTTATGTCGTCTAAAGAAAATTTGGGATAAATTTGTTTTTTATTAATGGCTTTAGACGTACACCGACTCAACAAATTGCCGTAAGTATCAGCCAATTCAGCGTTTAAATATTGTTTAACTTTTAATTCATTATAATCTATAATAAAAAAAATAATTATCTGTAAAGATATACATAAAAAAGTAGTAAATAAATATCAAATAAAGACAAACTTGAATCTGTATGAAGGGATCCCTGTCTTAACAGAAAATAACGAAAGCCATCACTAGTAAAGGTCTTAATAGACTCGAAAGGGTCGATAACATTGCCTCTACTTTTACTCATTTTAATATCATCTTTAAGCCAATGAGAGTGACATAACAATGTCTTTGGTGGATCTAAACCAGCGGCCATCAAAAATGCGGGCCAATATATACCGTGAAATTTAAGAATATCTTTGCCAATCACCTGACAAGTTGGTGGCCATAAATGATTTAAATTATTTGGATAACCGGAAACAGTTAGATAATTAATAAGTGCATCAAACCAAACGTATATCTAGAAAAATAAATACTAATAACTTTTAACAAAATATACAAACATTGGTCTTAATAATCAATACATACCACTTGTGAGGAATCATTTGGCACTTCAATACCCCAATTGACTCTTGATTTAGGTCTCGAAATAGAAATGTCTCGCAAGTCTTTCTCGACTTCATGTTTAAGAATATCACCAAAAACTGGAGGTTTAAAAACTTGTCCGGAATTAATCCAATCGAGAATCGAGTTCTTAAATAAACTTAATTTGAAAATATAATTATCTTCTGCCGACCACTCGACCGGATTTCCCGACTCTACTGAAACTCTCACTTTGTCTTCATTAATGAAAGTTCGCGATTCGCTAACAAATGTCTCGTCTGAACAACAATACCAGCCCTCATAGGATGACTTGTAAATGAAACCATTGTTCATAATTGTCGACCAAAATCTTTTCACAGCATTTATGTGACTTTCATCAGTAGTTCTGACAAAATGAGTAAAACTAATGTCCGATAATTTAAAAAGACTCCTAAATTCATGTGATATTTGGTCGCAAAATACTTTGGTTTCAATACCATTGAGTTGAGCCGCTCTCTGGATCTGAACTTCAAATAAAGTTGTGACAAAAACCAAAGATAATAAGTCATTGAATCATATAATCAACTAAATAGTCATTACTTTAATGCCGTGTTCATCGGTTCCCGTCGAGAATATGGTCTCTCCTTTGGCTAACAATCGGTTAAATCGGTGAATAGTATCAGCAATTATGGCTGAATATAAGTGTCCGATGTGTGGAACTGTTAGGTCAAAAAATGGACAGTTATGTCAGTTTTATAATAGGATATATCTATTGATTACTATTCAGTGATACCTGAGTTGACATAAAATATCGGAGTTGTGATGAAACTGTCATTTTGGACATCAATTGATGTCCTCATCGATGACTGACTCCTGTATTGACTATAATTGACATTTGATTTGCATTTCAATGTATTCACTGAAATAGTGTTAATCATTAAGTAATTAAATTTCATTAATTTACTAAACATTGTATTTCAATGATTATATTCAAACAAATGTTTAGTTAAACAAAAATCATATTTGATTTGAAAAGTTGACATCAATTGTATGAAACATTTACCAATAGATGTCATTATTAAAGATAATGTAAAAAGTTATTATAAATTATAATAATTAAAAATTAAAAATTAAAAACTATCGCTAACTACACTAATTCTGGATAAATAATGTAACAAAATATTTTAGTTAATTATTTAATTAACTTTTATCAAATATACTAAATCTCATAAAAAATTATTATAAGACTATATTTTATTAGTTTATAAATTATAATTGATATTATTAGAAATAAAATTAAAATAATTATGAATTTTATTGAATACAGTATTTTAAATAAAATATAATTTAACAATTTATTGTAAAACTTATATAAGTTATGTATAAAAAATAAAATATTTTGTTAGCAAATAAAAATATTGAAATTTGAGTGAAATTTTTTTTATTTAATAATTAAATGGTTATTAATAACTTATTCTTAGCAAACTTTATTAATTAACACCAAATTATTGTAATATATTTATACTGTAATACAATAATTAGCGTTAATTAGTAAAGTTGTTAATAATAAGTTAGTCTATAACTCTATAATGATTAATGATATGATTTGTTAGCACTAATGTGTTAATGATTAATGAGTTAAAATAATTTTGATTTCAATGAATTTAACATTAAATTTATTTAAGAATTACATAAAAACGGATTGCAAAAACAAATCACAAATTTTCCCAAATATATTAAGATAATATTTTTTTGATAATTGCTTACAATTAAAGTTTTATATATTTTAATTTAAAATCTTTTAATGTAGTTTTAAAGTAAATTTTAATACCTATAGCATAGTCAATTGATTTTCTTATTTAATAAATATAAAAATATAATATTCTGTATATAAGTTATGTAATGCTATAGATATTAAAATAATATTATAGTTATATAATACATAGCAAATGTTTTAAACTTAGATTTTAAATTATTTAATGTTTAAATATGATTTTATGTTAAATATAATGTGAAATTCAACACTTTTACTATTTTTTAAATAAAAGTATTTTAACTGAATGACACAAAAAATTTTTATTTATTATAACAGAATATTCTTTAATATTATAAATAAACACTTTATAATTACTTTTTATTTAAAAGTTTTAATTTATATATAATATATAAACTAATAATAATGTACTGTATATTTAGTACTATATTTTTCTTACTAAATATACTGTAAATGTTTTGGGAGTAGTGTTTGGTTTGTCCAGTATTAACAAAACCCAATGAACTACACAACAGGTGTGCGTTGCACAAAACATCGTACGCACACTTTCGTACGCTGCGATAAAATATGCATTTCACAACAAGTCGTAAATGCATTTCGCAACTTACGGTTACGACAACCGTAAGTAATGTTATTGTTATAAATGCGCATGTGTACGACTTTTTCACGTCAAACACATTTCACGTACAATAACATTACATATCGTACGCTTAAAATTTACACCTTATAGATGATAGGCGTAAGTATTATTATTATGTATTATCAATTATTATTATTAAAATTATTATTAAAATTATTATTAAAATTATTACGACAGGACCAAACATATGACATGTCTTGGTACATAATACTACAAGACCAAACCTCACCATCAAGAAGACATATCCAAGACCGAAGTAATCCATTAGAAGGCTTAAACACCATTGAATGTGTTCAGCGCTTCCGATTGGATCACTCCGGAATTTTGGATATCTGTCGCCTCATCGATGAAGATATAAGGCGCCCGACAAAAAGAAGTAATGCGGTATCAACACTTTTACAAGTATGTGCCGCATTACGATTTTTTGCACAAGGCGCCTTTTATCGGGTCACCGGAGACACTCTTGACATAAGTACAGCAACTATGTCAAGAGTTGTTCATAGAGTGGCCCGAGCTCTCACTAAAAATGTCCGGAGATATGTACTGTTTCCGGACAGTGAGAGGGAAATCGCTTCAACTAAAGAAGACTTCTATAAGTTGAAGCGATTTCCTAATGTTATTGGCGCTATTGATGGCACGCACGTCGAAATATTAGCGCCGCCACAAAACATTGAAGCTGATTATGTTAACCGAAAATTTCGGCACACAATCAACGTTCAAGCTGTGGCTAACGCACGCTTGGAGTTTATCGACATCGTTGCCAAATATCCTGGACGGACACACGATGCCTTTATATGGCAAAACTCTGGACTTCGACGGCAACTACAACAACGGCCAAATATTGGTTGGCTCTTAGGCGACTCCGGTTACCCTTTAGAGCCACAATTGATGACCCCACTCTCAGAGCCTCGAACACCCGCTCAAATACGTTACAATACGGCACATATGTCCACACGTAACGTAGTTGAGCGGGCGTTCGGTGTTCTGAAAATGAGGTTCAGATGTCTTGACCAGACCGCGGGCAAACTTATGTTTAGCCCAGAGCGGTCATGTTATGTCATTATTGCTTGTGTTATATTGCATAACATAGCAAGAAGACATAACTTTTATGATCAAGACATCGAATCAATTGATGGATCCGATGTCAACTATGAGACGGCGGCATATAATAATGACCGCCAAGCTCTAAATATTAGAGCTCAATTAATAATAAATTATTTCACTTAAATATAATTTATATATTAATATTATTATTGTATTATTATTATTATTATTATTATTATTATTATTATTATTATTATTGTATTATTATTATTATTATTGTATTATTATTATTATTATTGTATTATTATTATTATTATTGTTGTATTATTATTATTGTATTATTATTATTGTATTATTATTATTATTGTATTATTATTAAATTATTATTATTATTATTGTATTATTATTATTTTATTATTTGTATTTTTTAAAAATAAAACTTTTTTATAGATCAAAATGTTTTTATTTATTTTTTTATTATAATATAAATTTAATATTTAATTTGATTAAATTGTTCGGCTTCGGCCGAACAATCAATTCCTTGCGCCTCATATTTCTTGAGACGTAAGGCGATATCTAATCGCCGCAAAGTTACCATCGCCTCTATTGCCTCTAGTTTTCGGCGCTCGATGTTCAACAAATCATCGGCCACTGATACGCCGTCTTCCATTCGGCGACGTTTTAGAGGCAGTTTGAGTGACTTCGGCGTCGCAGATTGTGATTGAGGTGTTTTGAGAGGAGACTTTTGTTGCACCTCAATATCAATTGTTGCGGCAGATGTATCTCCGTCATCAATGATTCCATCAATTAATTGCGGATTCATTGATGATAATAGGAGATCTTCTGCTGCTGACAATGACACATTAAGAGGTGATCCACCACCTGTTGTCTCTCTATGCCTCTTCATTGCCGCCGCTTTTTTCTTAACTTTGGACTTCAAGTCAGAGATTTGTTTTTTGACTTGAGTCCATGTCCTTGTACCCGAGGCTCCAACTGCGTTGACAGACTCGGTCAACTCTCTGTATTTCTTCTGTTTTACTTCATTAGTGATTTGAGGCGACAACTAAAAAGATAAGTTTAATGCTTTTATATTACACTTTAAAAACAATATAAAAAACGAAGCCCTCTAAGGTAAGTAATGCCATATATTGTTTTTAATATATGCACTTACCTTTGCCTCCAATATGTGACGGTGAGTGGTATATCCATTGACCACTGCTGTAATCTCAGCTTCTGTCCAATTCGGGGCTCGTTTATTGATATTAATATCAATTATGTCCATAATTAAAGCGCTTTTTATTTTGAAAATAACTTTAATATACTCAACACTCATGCGCTATTTTGCGTTTATACAATACGTTTGCGATATAACATTATTTTTTTGTGAAATGAAACATATCGTACTTTACGAACTATCGTAAACGTAGAGTTACGATAGCGTATATTTACACATTATAGAGAAACGAGGCCCAGTAGTGTAAGTCATCACTACTCCAACCCTAATGTATGTCAAGAATTTATATACTCAGCTAAGGAATGGTTTTTAGTGAAAGAGAGGGAAAGGCATTCAATCAGAGATTATGGATGAGATGTGTTGGTTGGTTGTGTTGTGTTGTTTGGCAGACACTATGTGTTCATATGATGTGTGTGTTTGGGAACATGTATTGCAAACAACAAGTGAATCATTGAAATGCATTATCAATGCATTTGTAACGCCTATTCATAATCTAATGTTATTTATTGAGCGAAACTCTGTTTGTCTTCAAATGTCTTCAATATTTGTGATTCAATATTATGTTTGGATTTTGATTTGAATTTAATTTTTGTTTTTGTTTTCATTGATTATTCAAAATAATGATTCAATTAATCACTAATCAAGAGCTTACTTAACATTTGCTTTCATTAACATAAAATCAATATTTGAAACTTAATGTAAATAATTGAATGTATTTATAGTTATTTTCTATTAACTAATAATGATTTTGAATGAATGAAAAATAAATCACATTTGATGTGAAAAATGTATTAAAAATGAGTGAAACAAATGTTTTATTATATAAATATCATATGATATGCATATCATAGCCAACTGACTGTCAATTCTTTTAATTATTTTTTAAATAAAATGTTATTAATTTATAAGTGATTCATACAATTAATATTTAAATATATGATATATAATAATGTTTTACACAAATACTATACGTTTATGTGAATTATTTGTGATAATTAATGCATTTATTGCAATCATTATTGGTTTGCATTCAACAGAAAGTAAACTCAACTTTTATGTCAACAAAGATGAGATACAGAAGCTGTTAGGTATGTCCTAATGATTTATAATTATATTAATGACCATCAAATGGACACCACCTAAGTGTCCATTTGGTTATCATAAATGACTTAAAATGTCACTATAAGGTACCTAAAGCTATATTATTAACTAATTTCGATATTAATTAAAAGTTACTAAAAACTGATGATATTATGGATAGTATTATAATTTATAATATTATCTTGAATTGCACTTAAAWCTACATTATATACAAATATTGATTATTTAATATGTTATACATAATAATCTATAATAATTAATGTATTACTTAATTTAGTTTTTCACAAATATGACAATTTTATACTAAATTAATTTAATACTTTTATTGATTAGTTTTATTGCAAACTATATTAATATACACTATTTGTGACAAACGGATCATTAAATTATTTTCTAAAAATTTTAACAGTTATTTGCAAATTGCAATATTATATTATAATATATCACTAATATATGCTAATTTATAGTAATTAACTTTTTATGATCCATAGATTTATCTAAATATGATATACTTTGTCATTGCTATATTAATATACAGTAAATTTGTTTAATATAATTCATTGCAAATTGTTTATAAATATCATATCATTGGGCTTTGATAATTATTTTTTAATTTATCATATTTATGATTTATAGCATATTATAGTTTATCAATTGGTCTAATAATTACACAAATGTCAGCATTAATAATTAGTAATCTTATTAATTAATTATTAATATAATAATTAGTAATAATTAGTAATAATTAGTTACCTAAATCTCAATATATAAAAAGATAAATTATCTGTAAATTTATATGATATAATTTTAAAGATTTTTTTGTACAATATATTCATAAATCGTAAAACAAACTATTTGTCAATTAAATCTGAGTATTATTGCTTTATTGCAATTAATTTGATTTAGTAAATCAAATGAAGTAAAATGCGATAAAATATAACATTTAAAATAATTTATTATCAAAATATACAGTAAATTAGTTGAAATAACAATTTTTAATAAATTAAAAAATAAGACAAATTTATGAAATAATAAATCATATAATATATACAAATATATAACACAATTGGTGTCAATCAATGTGTGAATATTTATTACTATATATCTGTGAATGTCTTTTATTTCTGTCGATATAATTGAAAGAATTGTTAATAAGAAGTCTTCGTTCGCACACTTTATCGAGAAATCGACTCAATTTGACGGCATTTCCAGTTCCCGGAGCTATACTACGGCTCTGATGACAGTCCACTTGAATCTCTTGAGCGCCGCACTCCTCTATCAATGGTGACGGTTGTCGGCACGAGATATGACTGGTTGCCACTGAATCCAGTTTAGTGGCCACCACTAGCACTGGTATATTGCGCTCAAAGAAGGCCTCCCTATCGAAATCAAACTCGTCGTTGACATTGACGGGGAATAAGGCGGCAGATATGCTACTCGTGTTGATTGATGTGTTGTTGTCTTTAATGGTTTGATCTTTCGAGTAGAAGACGTGTCCCAACCATTTGCTCAGATTTTGTTCAGATTTGCGGTTAGTTAAGTCGTGTACTAATATAATGCCGTGAAAGCCATTGTAGAAGACATTTCTGGCGGTGGCATGACTTCGTGAGCCGCCGATGTCCCACAACTCGATAAATGTTGTCCTCTGTTCCGGTGTTCCCTCCTTATACTCATGCAGTTTGATATCGATGGTCACCCCAATAGTCCACTGAGGATTGTGTATGACCTGTCCCTGACATATGAGGTGAACCAGTGATGACTTGCCGACACCCGAGTCGCCCAATACTAACACTTTGGTCTTATCTGTTGACGACATGACATGTCTTCTTCATTGCTGACTATCATATCATTTGATATACACGTCTTGTAACAAATCGTCCAATAGATGGCATTACTCATCATTTCTATTGATTTTAATTTTTAGCTTTAGTTTAAACTTTAAACTAAGTTTTATTAGTTTAATATAAATTTAATTAAAATTAATAGTAATTAATATTAATTAATAGTAATTATTTATCTAAAGGATTGACAGCAGAGATTAATTACATAAAGAATGGACACATCAATGACTATGCCCTGGGATTTGTTATAACTGTTCCCTCAAACATAACTGATCTCTACTATACCTGGTCTTCACCGATACCATCAGTTAGTTATTAAATTGTTATTTGTTTTGTTAAATTATTAAACAAATTGAATATATTTTAATTACAGATAAGATATAGTATTGGTTTTAAAGTTAGTGATACTTTAGCAATGGAAACGCCAACACTTAATATATCCAATGATGGTTTTGTACCCATCAATGAACAGGGTAATGTATATTTTAATTATCATTTAATTTACTTAATTATGATTATTAACAACTATTTTAGTGTTTCAAGTGTCACTCATATGCAGCGGTCGAGTGGCTGAAGTGGAGATCCAGATGATGGTTAACCTGACAATGCCTTATACTAATAATCAAACAGAACTTGTTCTTAAACGAAAGAAAATCTGCATTAAAAGTGATCAAACGAGTGGATCAATTGATAATAACAATATAAGATTAAAACCATCAGTGATTGACCAGAAAATAGGTTCACGGGATTCAAGTGCGCTGTCAATAATAGTAGCGTCGGGCAGTTGTTTCATATTGATTGTCGCACTATTGGCACTGTTATGCTATTTCTTATATGTTAGATCTCAGAAGGATCGTCGCACACAAACCAATGAGTTAGTGATAATAATAATATTATTATTAAAATATATTTGTTTATTAAACGACTGAATTTGTTGATTATTTTTTCACAGTTACGAAGGAAGTTTGACAAATATATCATCAAAGTCTGGACATATATATCTTCGTGTGGACACTCCCAGCAATATAGCCATTTCCAGAAATGGTAGCCATTATTCTAGTTTTCGAGGCTTTCTAAACGCACCGCCGAACTCATTATACCGAACCCTATCGGTTCCCATTTACACACATAATAAGCACAATATGAACACTAGATTGAGTGATAAAAGTTGCGATTTGGAGGTCAACCGTAAGAAAATACTTTTGCAACAAAACATAATGGAGGGAACGTTTGGAAAAGTTGTTTTCGGACTTATTGTGACCAACTTTAATGAGATGAGCGCTGAATCCAAAGTTATGATAAAAACAGTGTCAGATCAGGCGTCTAAATATCAGATCTCAGTATTTTTAAGTGAAGGCATGAGATTCAAAGCACTAAAACATCCAAATATACTGAGCATATCGGGCACTTGTATTGATGATCCTCATCGTCCACTTCTTATATATCCTTATATGAATAGTGGAAATCTTAAACTATTTTTACTGAAATCAAGTACTCATAAATACTCGTCTGAAACACAAATTCATACATTTTTAACGCAAGATTTAGTTCAAATGGCAATTCATATCACATCTGCTGTCATTTATTTGAACTCACAAAACATGATTCATCGGGATTTGTCCACAAGAAACTGTTTGGTCCAAACCAATGATCAAAACTCATTTCTAGTCAAACTTTGCGATAATGCACTTTCAAGGTATTCAACAATTTTTAAAAAATAATTTACCTATTATTAGATATATTAATAATAATAATAAATTGATTTAATCAGAGATTTGTTTCCTAATGACTATCACTGTTTGGGAGACAATGAGAACAGACCTATTAAATGGTTGGCTTTAGAAAGTTTAGTCAAAAGAGAATTTACTCAATTAAGTGATGTTTGGAGTTTTGGTGTCACTCTTTGGGAACTAATGACTTGTGGTCAACAGCCTTATGCTGAAGTTGATCCCTTTGAAATGGCCGCATATCTTCGCGATGGATACCGACTCTTTCAGCCAATTAACTGTCCCGATAGACTGTAAGCATTTATTTATATTAATTGTTTTCTTTTGAATGTTTAATTTAAATATATATCAATTTATTTTAATTTTAGATATGATATAATGATTTGCTGTTGGAATGTAGATCCAGAAGCGAGACCAACATTCCCTCAGCTGTACTCATGTTTACAAGACTTTCATCAAACTTTGGGAAAATATATTTAAATTTTTGTTTATAAACCCATTATAACTCATATTTTTATTTGTAATTTAAATTAAGGAATCAGAATTTTTTAAATGATTTTTTATATAAATTGTAAAATTTTGTAATAAATTTATTATAAATATACTTTTGTAAATATAAACTCAATGTATATTATAATTAGGATTTTTAAAAAATAATGTTCATATAAGATATTTGATGATAAACTGATAATTGTGACTAAGATTTTGAAAAAATCATGAAATATATATTAATTTAAAATCAAAATAAAATATTGAATTTTTCAATTTTGGGCACTTTATTGATGACAAGTCTTCCGTCATAACTAAGCGATGCAAAAATCCACGGATCGCTTACCGACCACTCAACTGAATATACACTGTCTTCGTGTTCTTCAAATGTGGCGATTATGCCATCGGTGTTCATCGATGTCTTATTGAACACTCCATTGTCATCTTCTGGCGATTCATCTTCGAGAAGATGTCCGAATGGCTGTGAAGCTACTGAAACAGCTCTCATGAGAACAACTCGCGAATCACTACTTGATGTTAACACTAATTGATCGTGAAATAGGTTGTAGCGGACAGACCACACCCAATGCGAGTGATTAGTCACTGATAATACAGGAGCTGATGTGTTGCGGACGTCCCAAAAGCGAGTCTCACAATCATCGCCACAACTCGACAGATAGTATTGAGCGTTGGGATTGAAGTCTAGGTCTCTGACCAGTTGTGAGTGAGCGTTAGGTATAGTCCACGCATAGACACCGGAACTGCTTTTAATTCTTAAATCTTTAGCATATATGTAGTTAGAGTTGGCGACACCAATGAGTCCACAGTTTGAGTGAGGACTCCAACGAAATGTCGTTATTTTATTGAATTTGTTTGCACTCTTTGCGGTGACATTAAAGTCAGCATTAATTGTCGACAAATTTTTATGACTCTCGACATCCCATAAATACAATTTATTTTCAGCAAAATTAATGATTTGATGGCCATCTTCTGGATGCCATACAGATGTTCGTCCAATGCCTTCCTCTGCGGTCACTTCTAGATCACTAACTTTACTCAATTGTGATAAAGTAGTAGAATCTTCATCAGTCAGCGGTGCAGACATATCAATAGGAAGTGTCCAAAGAGAGCAATGATTGTCAACTTTGCCGGCATGTGTTGGTGATTGTGATGAATAACAAGTGCTAATGAGGTTCGGGTGTTTGCAATGAGTAGACACATGCCATACCTCACCCGATGAATGTCTGAATACTGTTTTAGACAATGTATTGTTTTCATCCAAATACTCCAATAAATGGATCTGATTTTCATTCTTCAGTGACTGAGTTCCCACCAAAAATCGGACAAATGAAGAGCTGTCGCCATTAGATGTCGAGCAAAGACTTCGCGCCTGAAACTCAAGACCATAGATAAGGGGAGAATCGTCTTCATTGAGCGATTCGATGGCCATTCGGGTTGATATCGGATCCAATGGTGTGATGTCTATCAGTAACTGTCAGTCTGTGATCCACTCAATTAACAGCTGTTTATTGTTGTGTTTGTTTGTTGTCATCATTGATGTCATCACTGATTGCATAACACATGTCAAGTGTTTTAATAATTTTTTCTTAAATTAAATTTAAAGTTTTGCTTCACTTTAATCATAGATCGCAAACATATTATAATATATAATAAATTTAAACACAAATATAGTTAAAGTGTATCACTGTTTGCATTAATTTATGTATTTAATTGACCACTGATTGCAATATCAATCAATTGATATGATTTGAGATATCGATGACTAATATATTAATATTTAATTTAGTTATTTAATGATATGAACGACTCATTCATTGCAAGAGTTGATCCAAACACTTCTTATCAAGACTTTTACAATGAATTCTTAGTTAAAAATAAAGTCTGCATTTGTGAGGGTCTGACCACTGATTGGCGATCACGGACTGAATGGTTGACCAAAGATGGCACACCAGACTTGGATGTGTTGAGCAATCTCTTTGGTTAGTCATCGATGGTATTGATTATGATATTCATATTGTGATATTATTTGATTATATTCTTCATAAAAGGCGATGCAATGGTTCCGGTGGCCGATTGCCAGACAAAGTATTACAATTCAAACGCCAAACAAGAGATGATTTTTAATGATTACATCGATTATTGGAAAAGAGTTCAAAGTATTGATTATCACTATTCAGATAATGATATGAAGATATTGTATCTAAAAGATTGGCATTTTATCAATGAATTTCCTGATTATAAGGCTTACGAAAGACCAATATATTTTGAGTCCGATTGGATCAATGAGTTTTGTACTCAAGACATGAATAGTGACCTAATATGTGATGACTTTAGATTTGTTTATATGGGACCCAAACATAGCTCGTAATACAAACTACAGTATTATTAAATCAATTGCTTAACAGTTTAATAATATATTTGTTTCATTTATCTTCGTTATACAGAACTCCACTTCATGTGGATGTGTTTGGATCATACAGTTGGTCGGCCAACATATGCGGCACTAAGAAGTGGCTGATTATTCCTCCGGGAAATGAAGCAAATTTGAAAAGTTTAAACAACAATGAAATACCTTTTGATTTTTATCAGATTCATAACTATTCACAACATTTGAAATCTATGAATGGTTTTGAAGTAATTCAAAGAAGCGGTGATATTATATTTATTCCGAGCGGTTATATTCATCAAGTGATCAATACTGAAGATACCATTTCGCTGAACCACAACTGGTTTAACGGCACTAATATACATAAGATTTTTTCAAATCTAATGAATGCCTTGAATGATGTCGAGAATGAATTGTCTGATTTGAAGACATTAATTGATTTGAATGAATGGCATAATGAATGCCAAACATTACTTAAAATGCATTTTGGGATGAATTTGAATGAATTTTTTGATTGCTTAAGATATGTATCTAAACGAATCAAATCGGAAGCAATGGATCAACAAATTAAAGAAAGTCTATTAAATTTTAGAGTTGAATTTGATCGCAAATTTTTATTAAATCTATTAGAAAATATTAAATCAATAAATTTGTTAAATTTTGATTGTCATTTAGATTTTATTGAAAGTTGCTTAAAATAAAATTTTATTTTTTGTTATTTAATTGGATATATATTTTTATTTATAAAAATTTTGTTTAAGTTATTTAAATAATTTTATAATTTGAGATTATTTTTTTCTTAAAAAGATAATGTTTTTATTTTATTTATAATAATAAATATCAATAATGTTTTTAATTTATATTATTCTACAATATATATTTATTTGAAATTTAATTTATTAATTATTTGATAATTTTAATTTTAAGTAATATTATTAAATTTTTGTTTAATAATTGTTTGAATTGTAAAAACAAAAGTGGTTTTTTGAAAAAGCTTTAGTAATTTACAAACATTTATAAATTTTAATAAATACTAATTTATCAATAATTAATCAATAATTAATCAATCAATATAGGACTTTTCATGAAATTGAACCGATGTTTATATTGTTTATATTATTTGATGACATGTACCCTACTTTATAAAAATTAATTATATTTTTAAAGATAATTTCATAATCAATTGAATTGATTTATAATTTATTTTTTACGATTAACTTAATTACTGTTAAATTTTTATTTCATTTAAGTTCATGATATCTTTTATTATCACATTATTATTATACTGTTTTTTGCATCAAATGATTCCTCAATTACTCCTATATATTGCTATAAAAGGTGTGTTAATCCCTTGCCATTAGATGTGACCATTAATTTGATGAAAATAATTCACTTTAGTTTTAGTGATGACAACAAAACGGTTGTCAAAACAACTAATACTTGTATTAAAAAACTAATGATATTTTATGATCTCATTTACCAATTGTTTATATAATATATTATAAAATATTGTTTTAATAATTATAAAAAGTTATTGAAAATTATATCAATAATTTTATATTGAATTGCTTATTCAATGTAATATATATATTATAAAATAAATTTATATTTGCATATATATAATATATAGTATATTAAAAAACCAGGTAAGTTATTATGCAATTAATCATTATTAATTTTTATATTATCTATAAATTAATATTTATATTAACTTATTATTATTTTGTAGTTACATAAATTAATACATATTTAATACATTAATAAATATTGAACAAAATGTCATAAAAAGATCCAAACTGTAATAAATTTTATTTTTTTGCATGACTGTGATATATAGGTATATAATTTCTAATATATATATAATCCGGATATATTTATTATTGTAAATATGCAAATTTTCATGTTCATAATATACATATCAAACTCAATATAAATACATATGTATATTAATATTTGTAGAGTAAAACAAAATATTTTAGTAGTGTCATATTTAATGTATTTATTCAAAAAAAATGTCATATTTGTTATTAACATACATAAAGTGAATAAATTAAAATTATATACCATTGCTATGATATCATAGTCCGTCTATATTTAATATAATAATATTATATTATTTAATTGATAAAAAACATCGTGTCATTCATGACACTCTTAAATATTGTTAAATTGTCATTGAATTCAATGTTAATTTATAGACTGAGGTCAGACAATCCCTTATTCAAGGCTTAAACAATTGGATTTAATTTAATATTTCACAATTTTTCAAATTCAACTTATTATTGCACATTTAAAATATTTTAAATTATATAATAACTTTTAAAATTATATAAATATCTTAAAGTTTTTCAATATCGTTCATTAACATAATTTGATGCAATAAATTTTTTAAAAGTTATGCAATTTATTTAATATACAGTAATACAATAAATACTATATTTTAAAGTTTTATTATGATAAAATGAAGTTAAATAATTTATATTATGCTATTTTAAAAATCAAGGAGATTTACATTCAGATCAAGCAATTAACAATTATTAATAACAATTTACAACTATTTTTATAATGATGTAAAATTAAAATATGATTAGTATAATAAAATTATATTATAAATAAGATATCACATTTTTCATATAATATAAAGTATTTAATTGTTGAAATTGATTGCATTTTGTTTGTCAGACCAAAATTAGATGGGATAAAAAAATATCAATAGAATATATTTTACATTAAATATCAAAATCATATCTGAAGTAAATTTTTTTGATATTTTTGTTGTAAATCAAAGTAAATGTGATATCTATGAGAAAAAATAAGACAAATAACATCTCAATGAAAAACGCATAAATTTATTTAAAAGTACATTAAATAAATATAAATTATAGACAAATAAGACATTCATTATCAATGACAAACGTGTGAATGTGTGAAAGAGAGAGAGAGAGAGAGAGAGAGAGAGAGAGAGAGAGAGAGAGAGTTTGCAAGACATAAACCAAAACGCCTTCAGTAATAGTGAAGAATCAATTGATCTGTCATTTAATGTTTAAACTGTCGGTTACTTTAATAAACATTTTTAAAAAATAAATGTTATCTGTTTATTGCTAATAATTTTAATTTGTAAATACAGTATATTAATTGTAATGCTATAATAAGTAACAAACTAAAGTAAAATCTTATTTCTGTTTTTAGTTTAATTACTTTATTTAATATATTGTTAATTATACTCGACTTTGTTCATGATTTCATTTTTAACATATTATAATTATTATCATAAAAGTATTTTTTTAAATTAGAAAATATTAGATACGATATAAGACTATTATTAAAATATTTTATTTAAAGTGTACAACAATTTTATACAGTTTTTTTTGTGTATCTCAAGGTTGGATCAATTCTCAATTGAAACAACATTTTTAAACAACAATATATTATATTTTATTATAAATAATAATAATATAACATTTTTGAACCAAAATTTATTCTTCTATTGTGTTAGTGATTCATGCGATTCACTGTTTAATTATTTGATGTGAAGTCCTAATTAAGCGACCCGTGAAAACAGGTCTGCACTTTTGTATTTAAATATTTTGATGATATTTATTATTATTTTCAAAATTTAATTTTATAAACATATTTTATAGTTTTCAGCAACAATAGTTGTAAATTGTATTTATATAAAATTAAACTACAATATTATTATTATCAACACATTTTATCATAAAATAAATCATTTTATTTTTTTCATCCATATTTTTGCTTATATATTCAAATTTAGTGTAATTTTTACACAAAAATTGATATAATATTTTGATTAGTAGCAACTAATGTGGAAAATTACTTGATTTATTTTGATAATTTATGAATTAGTTTAAATGATATATTATAATAATATTTTATTTTTTGTTAATAAAATAGTTCAATATTATTCTAATATACTATTCACAAAAAAGTTAAATTAGTTAAATACTGTATATATATATAATTTTTGTATAATATATTATAAATATAATATAAATAATTTATAATCAATGATAAACATTTGTTTGAGTCAAATAAAAATGATCTCAATTTTTGTTTGTGATTTTAGAGCACATCTTTCACGTCAATGAAGTGATTGCTATCCATAACATCACTGAAGAAGTCTTTAAAAAAATATATTTTTTAAAAACCTCATCAATCAAGAGTCATAACACAAATAATATAAATTAATAATTATAATATTAATTGTAAGTAAAAACTAAATAATTCATTTACAAACTTCATATTCTCATTAATAATTTAAAGCTTTTTTTTAAAAAAAAAACTACAAATTAACTTTAAATTAATACAGTATTTTATTGTAATTTATTTTTTTCATATTTATCTATATTTTTTTTTTGTTTTTAAGTTATTAATAGATAAAATATTTATGTTGTTTTTGTTTTTGTTTCATATTAACTAAAATAATATAAAAATTAATTCTAAAATGCTATTAATTGTGAAAGATATTTAAAATGTAATTTATATATTTATTGAATAATACAGTATACTGTATATATTTTAATTTAAAAGTATTGTAAATTATAAGTAAATCATTGATTTTATGTTTTTTTAAAAATCGATGTTATATACTGTATATTATAACAAATGTTTGTGTATTGGTTCAATTTATCATTTATTATTTTTCTTATTTTAGAAAGCCCTTGATTATTGTATTTTATGCTAATTTTTTAAATAACTAATTAATTGCAAATATTATATATAGAAATAATCGAAAATTAGAATATTTAAACTAAAATATAAAAAATGCAATTAATATTTCAAAAATATAAAATTTCTTAATAATTACTGTATAAACAGTAATTATTAACAGTTATTTAAGACTTGTGATCTCATTTACAAAATAATAATTAATTTTTGAATAATTAAGATTAATTTTATTAATAATAAAATTTGGGCTTAAAATCATTAAATATTTACATGTTAAATGACATTATTAGATTATTAAATGATGTATTAATCTGATAAATAGGAAAATAGTAATATTTATTTTATTTTTTATTTATTAAACTCTATATTTATTACAAATTTTTTAGCATAAAATTCATTTAAATCTCTAGTATATACTAAATAGTATGAACTGTACTACTGTTTTTAATAATAATAATAATATACAATATTTTCCTATAAAAACAGTATATATAAAAATGACAAAAAAAATCTTCTTTTTTATTGGAGATATAATACTAGTTATGAAAATTACTATTTTATGTGATAACAAGATTACTATTTTTTATTATTATTATAAATATTTGAATTCAAGGCAATTGAGGTCAATAGTGAAGGGCAAGGCTTTCCTCGCACTACTAAAGGGCATACAATCGGCACACATATAGCCGTAGGTGGAAGAGAGCACTCGTTTCACTTAATTTTATACAATATTTTCATATCTTTGCAATTAATATACTGATAGCAAACACATACATATATATATACACACACAGTGGTGGTGCACCCCTTTATGCCACCCACTGTACTGTTATATGAGGTAAATGTGTCGTGAAAAAAGTTATCAATATTAGTTTTTTTATTTTCTAATTTAAATTATGTAATTGAAATAACTTTTTATTTTATTACTATAAAGTAGCATTAATGTAAACTTATATTACATTTAACATTTATACAAAAAAAACTTAAATAAAATAACAAATAATTTTTTTAAAACTGTTAGTTTAAAAGATAATTAAATTTATAATAATATTTTGAATATTAATAAAAGATTATGATAATTAAACTAATTAGTTAATCTAAGTGTTAAAATACTCTACTTTTATTACACGTTTAATTCTTAAACATTAAATTAACTTTTAATACCTAAATTCATGATTTTAATCAAATAAGTAAATATTCAATCATATAATTTATAGAAAATATCATATATTATAGAAAAATTTTGTTTATATTTGTTTTTTAATTTACATATTAATATGCATATATTTATTTTAGTTAAAATAAAATTATATTCTTTATAGTACTAAATAAATAACAATAAAACATTTAAAATACTTAATTTTATGGTTATTACAATTTTTGGATTATTAGAAATATCATTTATTAGACTAATAAAAATTTTCTTTTTCTTTTATCAATTGCTTTAATTCTTAACCATTTAGTATATTATTATAATTATAAATGATCTAAATTATTAGTGAAATGTTAAATCTAATTAATACTTTAAATATTAATATCATTGCAAATTTATTTTAAAAGTTGTTGAACTTTTTTTTTGATGTTTTTTATTTTAAAATTTATTTCACGCTTTTTCTCGTTTCATTTTATAAAGTTATGGAATTTAAATAAAATAAAAATTAATTTTTGAATTTTTTATTTAAATTTGATTTAAATCAACTAATTCAAGGTATCTTCAAATGTAAAGGCATACTAACATTTTAGTATTATAAGTTCAAGTTTTTTGAAAATGTTAAATAATAAAAATAATATTTTAAATTCAAAACTACACAAAAAATAAATATTTTTATATTTAATAATACTTTCAATGGTTATAACTTATAACTTTTACCTTTTTTACCTCAATAGTACTTAACTTTCAATTATATAATTTATTTTTAAAATCACTTGTACTAAATTTAGAGATTTAAATTTTTAAAGTGCAAATCTAATTGTATTTAAAATTTTATTATTAAGATTAATAGTTTACTCTAATATAAATCCATATTAAATGTTTAGCACTTTATATTGTACTATTTATTATACAATAATCATATTATTTATTTATATGATATAAATTTAGTACATTTTAATGTACTTGAAGTGCAACTATACTAATGTAATGATTCACGGAAACAGGTATTCATCCATAAACTCATTTTATTGTGTTAAACATAAAATAAAATTTATATAAACATTAATGAATAGCTGAGCTAATTACTAAACCTTCCTTTAAATAAACTTGAAATATGAAAATGATTATTATTTTTATGTATTTTTATTTTCATATCATTCTCTCTCTCTCTCTCTCTCTCTCTCTCTCTCTATATATATATATATATATATATATATATATTAGAATTAATGTTTGGCTCTTTTTAAATAATTATGTATTTTTACATATTTAAAAAAAACTTTGTTTAATAAACTCAATAATTAATGAATTTTTATTTTTATAAATTAAAAATATCAAGTAATTAGATTTATTTTTGATCATAAAATTAGTGGGAAGTAATTGACAATTGTATTTAAATAATAGTGAATAAATAAGCATTTTTTATTTACTAATAATTTATGAAATTAATCAATATAATTATTAGGCATCACATCACAGTCAATATAAGATAGAATTTTAAAATCTCAATTTATATTTATATTATATAAACTATATATAAAATTCTGTATAATAAATATAGTTTAAATGTTTATCTTATCTATTGTTGCAATTCATGTCTAGTATTTTGGGTGTAGTAAAGTTTGAAACAAAATTTTTATATAAAAAAACTAAGTTTCATGACTTGTTTGGTGTGTTTTTTTCTAAACATTTTTGGTTTTAGCAACACGTTTACTAAAAAAACCAAATAGTAGTAAATGTAAAACATTGAGATTTTAATAATCTAATTAATTATTGAATTGATGAGCAAATGAGCAGAGATTGTCTAATCACATGTTGATTAGTGTCGAAACTTAATTTTTCAATGTATGTATGTATGGGTATAGTTATACTGTAGTACTGTATGTCATAGTTAAGGGCAGTGCCGAAGCACTCGGAGTCGATTCAGTTTTGACTTCTAAATGCTTAGGAATAACACTAATTGTATTGATATTATTGATTAAATTTATAATAGTAAATGTTTTGTCAATTTTCTGTTTCAATGTTAAAAACTGTGTGCAATCATATGTCAAACCAAATATATAATACTTTTTATCGTTTTTTTTTTTGAGTGATGAGACAACAGATAGTAACAGATAAAGTCATTCAACCATTAATTGCAATCTAAAAAAACTAGCCATCAGTTCAATTGATTTATTAATATATAATATAATAAGTCATATGTCTCGTGAAAATTATGTTGAAATTAGAATATATTTATTATATATTTGATATTTATTGTCATTAGTTAATTTAAATTAGTTTTAAAATTGTTTTATTTTAATTAAACGCTCAATTATTATGTGATAAAAATTGTGGTCATTTTTAAAGCTCTTATCTTAGATTATATTAGTTTTATCTGTTAATTGTTTTACAACAGGCAATACAATACAATAGAAATGGCAACTGATGTCCAAAGCAAGTCGGCCCGTAAACCGTCGGTGTTTCTGTTTATTGCGGCCACTTCGGCATTATTTGGGGCAATAGGTTTGTTATATAAATATATAATATGATATATACTATTATTTGATTTAATGGATAATTACAATTTTGATAGCAATGGGTACTGTATTGGGTTGGAGTTCGCCGGCAGTGACCAGTTTGAAAGATCCGGGAAGTTCACCGCAAATCAAAGAAAAGGGCACTCAAACTGAAGCCTGGATCAAATCGAGTACCACTTTGGGAGCACTGGTCGGCGCCTTAGCCTCTGGTATATTGTAGACGACTACTAATTTAATGATAATAACATGTTTTCTGTTGATATTTAAGGACCATTGGCTCAGGTGTTGGGTCGTAAATTAGCTCTGATTCTCTATGGTATACCTATGATAGCCGGCTATTTATGCTTATGGTTGGCCCCCGATTTTGCTACTATTATAGTTGGCCGAACACTTACTGGTCTATCCGCTGGTCTAATCTCGGGAACGGCTCCAACATATGTGGTTGAAATTAGTACTGAAAATGTTAGAGGAATGTTGGGAACGGGATTTCAGGTTAGTTAATGGTTTTTACAATAGTTATATTGTAATTAATATTTTATTTAAAAAATATAGTTAAGTGTAACGATTGGCATATTAATGGTGTATGTTTTCGGAGCATTCTTAACGTGGAGTTGGCTATCATTTATTTGTCTGTTTTTACCGATTGTAATGTCACTATCGATGCTTTTGATGCCCGAAACACCCATTTGGTTGATGACCAAAGCTGGTGGCGATCACTCTAAAGGATCTAAAGTGGAAAAATCTTTGAAATCTTTGAGAGACACTACCAATGATAATGACTCTGAATTGAATGAAATCGCAGAACAAGCAGAAGAATCTTCGAAAACAAGTGGCTTTTCAATGAAAGAGATTAATAATCCATTGTTTTATAAGCCATTTGTATTATCTGTGATATTGATGTGGTTGCAACAGTTCTCGGGAATCAATGCAGTGATGTTCAACTCATCAGACATGTTGACCGAAGCCGGCAGTACTCTTGAAGGCAAATATGCGGCAATAATCATAGGTGTAGCCCAAGTAATAGCAACACTGGCCGGCACTCTACTGGTCGATCGGTTGGGCCGTAAAATACTGCTCATTGGTTCTGGTATTGGACACGCAATAAGTTTGGGTATTTTAGGCATCTATTATATTGCGGTCACCGATCGGCAAAACAGTAGCTTTGGATGGATTCCTATACTATGTTTGGTTGTATTCATTATAAGTTTTTCACTCGGTTGGGGTCCCATACCTTGGCTTATGATTAATGAGATAACAGCGATGCACTTCCGCGGTGTGGTCAGTGCATCGGCCACTGGAATGAACTGGTTTTGCGCTTTTCTTATTACCCATAACTTCGAGGCCATTCAAAAGTGGACGTCACCTCAGTTCACATTTTTCATGTTTGCCTTTTGGTGTGTAGTGAGTGTGCCGTTTGTCATAATATTTTTGCCCGAAACCAAAGGCAAGACATTTGATGAGATCCAGAAGTTTTTTGTCAAATCATCTGACGGTCACAGCGATGGTCACAACAAAATGGAAATGAAGGGACTGAACGAATAATTAATAAGAATCTCATCTTTTAATACAAAATCTCATTAATCATAACATTAATATATTTTATGCAAATTTTTAAAAAGTTATTTTTATATAAGTAAAATATTAACATTAATTTTTGTTATTGTATTTAGTGCCTTAATATTATATATATATATATATATTGATGCTTTTTTAATACGATTTTTAGCTAAATATAATCTTAAAATTTAAATATAATTTTTAGCTAATTATAAAAATATTTTTGTTCATTTTAATATTATTTTTTGTGCCTTTTTATACCAACAAATTTACAATTATTAAAATAAAATTTTTAGTTAAAACATTTATTTTCAAACTATTTATATACTATAATCAATTTATCAAATGGTCTTTAAAAATGGTAAATAAAATGAAAAAATCTGTAAAATAGGAAATAATTGATGTTAAATGTAGAGATGTATCAGATTTATTAATGTCTTAAATATTAATTAAAAATTAGTGTTTATATATACAAAACAGATATTAAATAATATTTAATAAATTTAAGATTAATCTGATTTTTAATTATAAGGTTTAATATTAAAATTTAATTTATGTTACTTAATGTTTTTTGATAAACATTATATTATCTTATAATTATAAATAATTAATTTTATAACAAAATAATTACAAAATTTTACAAAGTTTTTATTAATATCATACATAAATCTATGGTATATTTAACTAAAATGAATAATCAGCTAATACTTAGTTATTTAAAGTGAGATAAAATAGATATTTGTATTATTATAATTGTATTAAATATTAATAATTAAACAAAAAATACCAATTAATTAAATAACAATTTACTTTTATTGTTATCAAATTTTGATAAGCGATAAATTATAATAAAATGTAGTAAAGAATATTCTATATTTTAGTAAACTTTGTTTTTTAGCAGATTTTAATTAAAAAAAACAAAAATTTGCAATATATTACAATATAATAATTTTTATTTTTCAAAAAAATCGCAATGAGGTTAACGCCAACTGAATTACATTTTATTAATATTTTTAGTTATGCGACTAAATAATTATCATAATTCAAAAATAAAAATATTTTTAGCTAAGTTACAAAAAACCAATATAAAAAGCATATTTATTATTTATATATAATTTTAGAGGATTGATTGATAATGATTTTATAAGTGTGGGTATAATTTTACACAAAAAATGATTAGATGATAATGATAATCTTAAAAACTTTAATTTTTAGTAGACAAACATTTAAAATTGAGTAAAACGTAAAATAAAGAAAATTTTTATAAAAAATATTAAATAAATTTTCTAGAAATTTTCTCATGGAAATTTATTTTTAAAAATTTTTAGGCCTTTTCTAAAAAGCACAAACACTTATGAAAAATTGAAAATTGAAAAGTTTAAACAAATAATGTGAACTTTACTTTAACTTATAATAAAATAAGTCAGATATAGACACAGGTGGGTAATAGATATTTGAATGAACTGTGCATTTGTTGTATAAATTGGGTGTACTGTACGCACCTGTGCTGAGATTCACTCACCTGTATTGGACTTCTCGTTAGTGGTCCGGTGCCAGTGATTTCCAGTTAATACTTTAAATGGTATTTTAAAAGATAAAAGTTTCCTAACCGACAGCATTGATATTTTTGGCAGAAAATGCTTAATATTATACTAGAATTTGATGGTACGGTATGTGAAGGCACAGTAGGTGTTATGTTGTCTATTAATGTAAAGTTCACATGAATTTGCTTTACTTGACAAGTGATTCAAACATTTGACAGAAATTCCTGAGGAAATTGGACACAATTTTATTTTCTTAATTTATTTTCACCAAAAAAAAAATTATAGAAATATATCTAAAATCTAATTGTCTGTTAGTACTTCTTATCCATCACTTGACTATCAAAACATTTACTTTAAAAAAATTTCTCAAAAATCTTATTGTAATTTGTGAAGTATATAATCTACATTATAATTATAATGTTTTTTATTTAACTTTTTAAAAAATTATATAAACAAAATAGGTATGTACTGTACAAACTAAAAAATTATTATCAAATGTTATTTATTTTTAATATAGATAACTCTTTGTAATTATTATGCTAAATTTTGTTACATTATTTTATTAAATAAAATAACCATATGTAGCAAAGTTTGCTCATAGTTTGATAACAAAACATTTATTTCAAACGCTATTAATGTAATGTTTGTAAGATATTATTAATTTTATTGATAACATTGATAATCGTTGGTTAATACAAATACAATAATATTGTAAAAAGATATGGGATGTCTGTAGGGATGAGTAGACATGTGGTGATACTGTATGTTAACAGATATAATTGACACTAAAATTTACACATTTACATAGTTTTGTAAGATTAAAAAAAAGTTAGCAAAACATAGTAATTTCCTATTGAAACCATTAAAACAACTAAATTGTTAAAATATAATTTTTTACAATAAAGTCTAAATAATTATTTATTAATTGTATAGTGTATAATTATATTGATATTTTTATACTAATTTTTGTTAATTATTGTTTTTAAAAAATCATTTTAACTGATAATGAACATTATTCTCATTTAAGTCAAAAACAATGTTTTTAAGATTTAGAAATAAAATTTATTTTTTATAAATCTTATTTAATCTCTTGAATAGAGGATATAAAGTATATTATGTATTATAAATGAATAGAATATATTAAAAATAAATATATATATATTTTAGATTACATATCTATTAGTGTTGAATAAATTAAGATTATTTTTGATAGTAATACTAAAACAACAATAAATATATGATAGGTTACAACTGGTTTAGTATAAGAAATGCAAATATTTTTTGTTTTATTTATAAACATATTATTATTTTTTTAAATGTATCTATTATCGTATATTTTAATCTACTATAAAAATAATAATAATAAAAAACTTTTCTAGTAGCTAAAATTTACTATATTTCATTTCATAGAAAAATTGTAAATATAATAAAAATAATAAAATATTAGTTCAAATATAATAAATATTATTTAATAAAAATATACAAACTTTTTAAATGTTATAAATTTTAAGTTTTTGTGTTTTAATATAATAAACATACAAACTGACAGATAATTTATTGCATTAATGTCATAATAATACTAATAACTTATTGTTGTAATATATATGCAAAAAGTACCGGTATATTGCACTGATATTAAATAATCTGCATATAAGTCAGTAGTTTATAGAAAGATATTTACAGTTATTAATATTTATTTTTTACCCAATTTTCTTATTAAATTTGATATTTTTAATAACAGTTTCAACAATGTGCAGTATTTTAATACAATAGTATATTAACAAACAAAATATATATTTTATTTATCATAAAAATATATATTTGACTTCCTTTTAGTTTAATTAGATATTTTTTAATTTTTATATAAGATTGTATTTATTAATTAATTTTATATATGTATGTTAAACTCTCCCCATAAATATATACTGTATATATAAAAATATATAAGAGAAAGAGATAAAGAATGTTATTTAATTGTAATTAAATAATATGTAATACATGTTGTAATAATGTATGTATAATATGGTAATTCAACAAAAATAAATTTTTAATTATATACAAGAAAAGAGATCAATATTTAAATTACAGACCCCTAAAATATATATATATTTAGTAACAAAATACAGTAATTAGTAGTTTTTATAGTATATTATTATTATTTGTTAATTTTTTTTTAATTTTATAATTATTGCATCATAATATGTAATATGTTATATATAAAAAATTTATATTATATTATAATTTATAATTTTACTGAAATGAGATAATAAGATTGAATTTCTTTTTTTAAATAAAATATTTTATATAATTTTATAGTAAAACTTAAATCCAAAATAATTCACAAAATATTTTATTTGAATTTACTTTAAATCACAGATTATTTTTAATTAACCGTATACTGTGTACAATAGCATTAAAATGCCCAAAATTACTAATAAATAATACATCTAAATAAACTTAAATTTAATGTTTAAATCATTTTTATTAAATTATTGAATATTGGTATTTTATTTTTTTAATTAATAAATCATTTTATTTATCATATTTTATCTGTTATAACAAAATTATAACAGTGAGCTTAAAATTATATAAAAATAAATATAAAAAATATGTACAATTTAAAAATAAATAATATAAATTTATAACATAATAATTATATATATATAAACTTTTTAATCTTTAATTAATTAACGTGAAGACTACAATTAGTCTGAACTATCACACGAATAGTTAGTTCCACACGAAGACTCAGATGATGTGGACAATCGATGATTATATTTAGTCCATTTTAATGGATTAGTTGGACAATCTTGTCGTCGAGATAGTCGAGCTGTTGATGATGAGGACGACTCAGAGCTCATACTGAATGTACTAATCAAAGACATACGACTTCCAGTGTTGGTCTTCGACAGTCTTGAATCACAAGTTATGGAAAGTTTACCAAAATTTTTATTTAAATCAAAAGTGTTGGTACATCTCATATCCATTGAATTGATTGGCAAATGTGATAGTTTTAGCACTGTTGACGACATACGACTGGTGATCGGTAATATGGGTTTCCGTATTGACTCATATCTGACAAATGGTGACGACTGTCCATTTGTATAGTTTGTCAAACAATTTGCTGGACAAGTATTTCGAGACGAAACTCCTCGTATAAAGTTTGATGACTTTGTTATAGTTGTGAAACTATTATTATTATTATTATTATTATTAGTCGTATTGATAGTGTTTGAAGAGTTTTTACATAATTCTTCAAATTTTTTGTCCGAAAATTTAAACTTTTCAGTTCCGGGAAGTTTCGGTGGTTTCATAACTGATCAAAAATGATAGACACACTCACAAGTAACGGTACACATATGTAAATGTATATAAATAAAAAACATAGAAACAGTTAGAAAAACTTATAGATTATATACTTTTAAAATCAATTGATTTCAAATAAGACTGAAATTTTGATTTGTTTGACTCCTAATACTGTATATCTATATATTAAACAGTGATATACCGGTCTTTTCCTATGATATCTCTCATTGATGTGAGTGAAGGAGTCAGTGACGAGAGTTTATGAATGAAAACTAAGGCAATCACTAGAAATAAGATATAGTTATACAGTCATACAGTTTTATCTCTCCCTATCCCTCTCTGACCTCACTTTTGTCGATCATCTCTATATAGCCTATGGATAGAAAAGTCAGTCCAACCTTTTAGTGAGTTTAGCGCCAAACATAACACTGCAAACACATCCCCAAAAGGGGATCCCATTTACCCCTCAAAACACTTTTCCAAAGGCTATGAATAATAAAACAACTTTTATCTTAACTCTCAAACTGTGTAAACACTAACCGCTTTTTAAGGGTATTTTCAATGTGTGTGTGAGGTATATATTATACAAAAGTCTGTTTATAGAAATTAAGATAAAAATTGGAAATTTCTTTTAATTAATCAAAATATTTTACTTTTAATTATACGTTAATTTAGCAAAATTTTTGACCACTTTTGTTGTTGTTTTAGAATTAATGATATAAATATATTTGTTATTCAACCCTACAAAACAATATTAACTATCACTGCATTTAGATATTTAAAAAAAAGTTATTTAAAAATTCATGTTTAAGACATTGACTCTCTAGAAAAATTGAGGTCTGGATTAATATATAATTTGTCAAAATTTATACTAAATCTATAGCTAATTATTATGTTAAGCCATATCCTCATAAATATATAAAACATTAATTAAATTTTAACATTCATTAAGCTATGCAACTATTTAATAACTAATAAAGCAATATACAGTAATGTATATATAAATTGTTAATTTAAATGTTTAAATTGCAACAACAAAAAGTATAAGTAAATAATTTAATTATTTAGTTTAAAATAAAATTAACAGTAAATATGTAAAAATATAGTTTGATAAATGTCATTTTGTCAATTTAATAATATTGTTGTTATTTAAAAGTATAAATTAATGTGACCAAAAATTTTTGAATACAACAAAATAAATATCGTCCGCGACAGGATTCGAACCTGCAATCTTCTGATTCGAAGTCAGACGCCTTATCCATTAGGCCACGCGGACTCACATGTTTAGCCTAAACTTTATTATTTAATCAGACAATAATCACTTCAAATAAGATCCAAATCCATAATATAATATAATTTACAAACAATTTAAATAATCAATTAAAATAATTTCTATATATTTTACTAATAATTTAAAAATTATTAGTTTTGACAAATAAAGTACAGTTTATACTAATATATAATAAACTTAATTAAGTTATAATCCAATGTTAATGTTATAAAATTATTTATATATAATTTGAATTAATAGTAATAATAATGAAAATGTTTGATAAAATAGCAGATATTAAAAATTATAAACTATTTTATAAACTAATAAATAAATGTTTGTTTGAAAAGCGATTTACAAAACATTATATATTTGAATACCAATTGAATGTATGTATTGATTGTGTGGATCCCTCTGTCGTATGTGTGGTTCAGTTAGGTTTACATCCCTTTCCTGTTGTTATTGCATTCAAAGTGAAACACGTTTTTGTGATCACTCTTGTGGTGTATTCTTCTCAATATCACTTGAGCTAAGGCTTCGGCGAGTTTACACTTATAGTGACGATTGAAATCAATTGATACCAATTAAAGTTAAGATGTCTTCAAATGACGAACTGTCCTGTGTTTACGCCGCTCTCATCCTTCAGGACGACGACGTGGCCATCACTGCCGAGAAAATTCAGACTATCCTGAAGGCGGCCAATGTTGAAGTTGAGCCCTACTGGCCATCGCTGTTCAGCAAAGCACTCGAAGGCGTTGACCTGAAGGGACTGATCACAAACGTTGGTTCGGGTGTTGGCGCCGCACCGGCCGCTGCAGCTCCAGCTGCCGCCGCACCCGCTGCTGGTGACGCCAAAAAGGAAGACAAGAAGAAAGAAAAAGAGCCCGAAAGTGAAGAAGAAGACGACGACATGGGTTTCGGTCTCTTCGACTAAACAACTGAAGAATAACTTTGTTTTGATTTATTTTGAAATTGTATTTAAATTTCAGTAAAGACTTAACTAATGTTTTGATAAAAATGTCGTTTAATTTATTTTAATTATTATTAAACTTTATATGTGATATGATTTATATGATATGATATTTCGTTTCATATTATTTTGTGGTAATTAATTGATTATCAAAATAGTAAGCAATTTATGACTTAAAAAAACATTACTAAATGATTGCATTGTTTTTTAAAATTATATCAAATGAATATGTTTTTAGACAATAATTGTTAGCAATTTGTGACAAATGTTTGATTGAATTGGTGTAAGTCATTGCCATCGGTGGTCAAACACATGTGGTATCTAAGAGTAAACCGATTGACTTTAAGCTAACACTTGATTCAGAAGAGACGTTATTTATTAAGGTTTGGATTAGTTGTCAACAAATGAGACGAGATTAACAGTAAATTACAAAACAAAGTATTAATTGGTTTGTATTTTGAAGACAAATGATGACGACTGAGTCCAATATCCGGCATATTCTTCACGGGTTAGGTCGGGCCACAAAACGGGGTGTCCGCAAGTGTCCCGAATGTCATACGTTTAACGGCACCAGAGGTACCAAATGCAAGAACAAGATGTGCGATCATATCTTCAAACGCGACAATAATAGTGTCCAACAAAATGATTTGAATGATAACACCAAAGACCAAATCGGTGAGGACTGGATGTCGACAAAGTTAGAGTCCATCCGATGCATAACAACCAACAACTCATCCAACATATACTCAGTTCGTGTCCGTAACAGAGGTCCCGATTATCGAGGTTTTGTTGAGGTGCCGATTATCAGAGGACTAGACGGCACATCTGATCCGTCACTAAACGCCCAGTTTATTGCTGAGACTACCGCTCGATGTTTTGTTGAAGTCTGTAGATCTCATAAAGTGGTTTTACCCATTACAGGACACACAGACTCATCAATTACTACAACCGACCAAAATTGTCACCACAAGACTTCTTCCAACACATCAAATATAAGATATTCGTTGATTGAGTCGTGTATTCATATAAAACATTCAGTAAAATGTATGACAGAAGCCAAGGTATTGGCCTTAAAGAACTCTATTCTCAATCAACTTCTGATTAGTGACCAAATGCGACAACAAATCGCTGAGTTAGCCTTTGATACTCCCGGTCCTCTCGTACAAAGAGTCTCCAAGACATCAATGGTAGTTAAGTGTAAGCCTAACAATAAGCAGCCGTTAGGTTATCTTCACTGTTGGTTTGCCGAAACTTCGACAAACAAATGCCGTCAAAGAAGTGTATTTCAAAATAACTTTTCCTGTGTTTGTAAAGCATTTAAAGCTTATAAATGTGTAAATCAATTGTCCACCGATTGTCACAGTAATTCAATTGTCAATAACAATGAAATGACTAATTTGTTGGTCAAATCTAACGGATTGTCTGCCGAAAGAAAGTGTATCCACTATTACGCCTGTATTTGTGCCTTTGCTAGCGATCCTAAATCTAGTCTTGAATTTAAAGATTATATTATTAAAGAGTTACCACACTTTGAATGTCTACCTATTGTATTAATATCGCAGACAAATAGTGAACAAACAAATACCGAAATGGTTTCAGATTCTGGCGATTGTTTGGCAGAAAAACGGATCAAATCCGATGAAAATGCTAACTCAGATGTTATTAATACGAAAAAATTGATTGACAGCGGAATTATCACTGAAACTGATGTCAGCATTAATTTTATTGGTTGGTTGTCGAGTGTCACTGAATTGATCAATCAGTCGATGCACTACCAGTTGAATGGAAAGCCAGAACCGCTTGTTTTTATGATACCACAGGGTTTGTCATAATTTTTTTTTCTAATTTTTATCAACAATTTAATTGTAATTATTATATACTTAAAGGTTATTTCGATTGTCTTCAACAAAGGATAGCTACAGGTCTTCGTAAAAAACGTTTACCAAATGTCACGACTGTCTTCACGCGCAAAGACAAACCTCCTTTGGGAACGTTTACTAAATACACATTTGTATTAACAAATATACATCATATCAAACAAATTTTTGATACATCAAAACAAACACTTTGTTTACAACAAAACTTTGTTCAGAACAGAGACGGTAGCTATGATTTTGATCATTCATTCAATGATTGTCACGATTTGGCTGACATTTCAATGGATGGATCAGCACTTGTTTTACCACAAAGTGATACTCAAATTATTAAACGCAATGAATTGAAAACTTTTCTAAAAGTTGGTCTAATGGGTGATTCAGATCCTAAAGAGTCGGCCATACCTTTTGCTATCGAATGGATTCCCGATTGTCTACCGGTTTGTCATTTCGGAGAATTGAGAATTGAATTACAGTTCGGACACATTAGGAATGGGAAGATTGAAAATTGTTAAATAATTATTTATCATAAAAATTTATTTACTATTTTGTTTTATTTTAACTAAATGGGCTTAAATGCAATATTTATTTATTAATATATTTTGTAAACTTTATATTTTTTTTGTATACATTTATTATATTTTATTATTTATTAAAAATATATTACCCGTATATTCTCGTATCTGTTAGTTCAACATAAATGAGAAAAGTTTTTTAAATTAATAGAAAATTAGTTCAATTTGTATATAATATATAATTATATTAATATATGTTTATTGTATTTTTAATAATTAGTTTAATTTTTGTAATTATTTAGTAATATATTACATTAAATTTAAGTTAATTATTAATATGAAATAAATTGATTGAGAAATTAATACACAAAACAGTGGCCTCTATTGTAATCAATAGTATTTTAATAGTAAAACCAATGACAACAACAACATGTGGTCAACACATGACATATACCTATAATTTCTTTTAATTGATTACAAGTTATAATAACAAGACAACAACAATGTTGGCCACGATTAACACCAATCTTAAGCCCCGAGAGGTTATTGTCAACTGTTTGGAGGCCGGACTCGCAGAAGATAAAGAAGTGATTGTCAAACATGAAAACCAATTGAAAGAACTGCTCGTTTTGTCAAATGAAGAGCCAGTTTTGGTACCACTTCTTGAACTGTATTTTAAGGCCCGAAAAGCTGTGCCATTGCATGATATCTTAAGAGATGTGTCACAACAGCTGAATCCTTCATTATTGACATCACTTGACGACCAATTAAACAGAATATATGGCAAAAACATCATTGAATTACCATTTGGACAAATCATTCAGTTGTGGCAACTTTTTATCGACAATTTCAATGAAGACAATGAATTTTGGATCAAATTGTTTACTCAATTCTTGCGTCATATCAGATGTCTTGACGGCTGTATTGCAAATCAATTTATATCTCAAACCAATCAACTGATGCGACAGACAAAACAAGTACTGAAGAAAACGGCAAAGAGTTTGCAATCAAATAATCAAGAATTGGTGAGCAATTTACTCCATGTCTACAATGTTTTTGAATCATTAGTTATCTTAAGATTCAATTACAATGGATATAATTTATTAACGGATAAGTCTAATGATAATCAAAATGTCAGACAAAGCAATTGGTCTGATTTGTCGATAGTTTACGATTTTACTGATGAAAGTGTTTGGGAAATATTGTTTGAAAATTTTGAACAATTGGATCAAAGTCTCAAACGAGTACTTATTAATTGTTTATTTCAAAAGTTCCAGTTTTTTAAATGTCTTCAATTAAATGGTCAGTTGACAACTGAAGAAGAATCAATTGTTAAAACATCGATTCAAGACTTGGTTTCACCAATAATGGCTAATGTTTGCGAAAATAATTTGATTGCATTTAATATACAAGAAATGAATTCAATAATTAATGACTTAAATAGAGATGATTTCAGTCTCTTAACCAACACATTGATTGGTTCCGTTGTTTCGCATTACGACACCAATTGTGTTGCGGTTAAGACATTGTTAATGAATAGCAATGTTTGGCAAAACTTATATTTTCAGACGGCTTTTGTTACATCGTTTTGTTCACAAATTAGATTTAATTTGTCAAATAAAAAACGAAAACTTGATGAAGATATGTCTAAATTGGACATAATTTTTGAGTCAATCACAGACACTAGCATTTGGTTTGATTTTGCCAACTCTTCATCTGATTTGAAGAACTTACGACTTAAACTATCGATAATATGTCAACATATGGAAGAGTTATTTGAGTCTAACGATAATTTGTCAAAGAAAGTAAAGATATCAACAGATTTGATGAAATTGTTGACCGATTGTCTGCCATTAGAGTACTTATTACCAGTAAATCAAATGCGATGTTTAATATCATTATCTATATTATTGGTTTGTATTGATTCAAACAAATCAAAAGATATTAAATTAGTTGATCTTATATTGGATTCAATTATTCGTATTTTTGACGGCGCAAGAAGTGTTTGGTTATTTTCATACGTGAATCCATCGAAATATTTCATTAGACTTTTAAAATCATTGACTAACTATAAAAATCATGAAAAGTTAATTATATTGATTACAAAATTAATTAATAGTTGTGGTAGAGATTTGGATCAAATGCAAGAGTTAAAGACAACTTTATCAGAGAGTGAAGATATTGTCGATTTTGAGTTATTAATAATGTGTGAAACGATTTTATTAAAGAGATTTCTCCACATTTTTAACATGAAATCTGTACCCAAATTCTTGGTTAACGGCAAAGAAGTTTGTGGTCAACTTTCCCGCGAAATGTCAAATACTATTCACAATAGAATTAAAAGATATTTAACATTAGAAACAAGTATTGAGTCTTTAAATTCAATGTTAATTACAGAAAGTTTTGCTACAGTTTTTGAATTTCAAGTGTTAAGATCGGCAACAGATGAGGAAACAGTAAATTTGAAGACTAAATGGCGTAAACTATTAACTAAATTAATTGATATATCTATAAATAATTTGAAAAACAAAATATTGAATGAAAGTTGTATTAAATTTTTGATATTACTTTGTGGTCACCGGAAAAAGTTGGCAAATATTTTACCCGAAGATTTTATAATCAATCTATGGATTACTCTATGTCCACAAAAGATTGATAAAAATGATTTCGAAGAAAAGATTAATGAAATTGAATTAATAGACATTTTTAACGATAGACAAGATTTTGTTCAAATCGTTGAAAACATTAATTCAAATGAAAAACAAAATAGTAAACAATTTTTGAATTCAATTTTAGATCAAAATTTATTTTATACAACTATTAAGCCATTGATTATTGCATTATTCAATTGTTGTCTGACCTCAGAATTTGAACAATTTTTGCAATTATTAATTAAACAAATTGAAAGCAATGATTATCTATCAATATCTCAATCATTAAGTCTATGGTTAGCACTATTTGAAAGTGATTTTAATTTATCCAATGAAAAAATGCTATTATTTACGAAAATTATTAATGATTTATTGACATATTGTGCGATTCACTGCCAAAAATGTAATGATAAAGAAATTGAGTTTCAATTGCATATAAAACTTGCTATTATGAAGACTGTTCGCAATATTGTTCATACAATACCATCGACTGTATTGACGAGTAATCAAGCATTTCTTGGATATCAAATTTGTATGGATTGTAAACTCAATAATTATATTTGCGATCCAAAAATATTTACTAAATTATTTGACACGATTTACGAGTTTTTAAATGAACTGTTATTACAGCACAAGTATATTGTTATCTCATCCATCACTTTATTTCATGGTTTGGTCGATCATCTCATGAAAAGTCTAATGATTGTTTCAAATGAACAGAAATTCATAACATATGAGACCAAAGTGAGACACGATTTGGAGATTTGCTCTAAAAATATGGACCGACTATTGACTCTAACGGCTTCATTGGACACCAATTATTCAACTTTGGCCCCGCATTTGGTGGCATCATATGTGAACCAAAGTGAGTCTGTGTTAGTCCACTTCATCATTAAAAACAATATAATTTCGGGAATCCATCGATTGCTTAAACTTTTGACCACAACTGACAGTAAATCTATTGATATGCTTTACAGTCGTTTCAATGAATCTAAACGACATATATTTCAAATTATTTACGAAAAATTTGATAAATATTATAAATTTAAGGGAAATATTTAACTTTAAAGAAATACATTTTTATGTTTGTATACATAATTTTTATAAATAAAACTATGAAACCTAATGTGTTTGTGTTAATCGATTGTAAATCAATATTAATTTCAATATTGACTCCAAATAATTATAGACAGACCGGGAAGTATACATACGATAAGACATTATTCCAATGAATAATAATTTAAAAATTAATTTTATTATCTGATATGTTGTCATAATATCAGTGTTAGTAGAGATGGGTTTAAACACATCAACAAAAGGGCTTTTACTAGTATTATAGGTATTATATGTTGTGTAATATGGAAAAGAACAAAAAAAATTTTTTGCATTATTTATTGGGAGGTATGCAAGGACAGGGATGTCAATATCTCGAAAACTATAATAGATATTAAAGATAAATTGCTAATTATACTAAATCTGATAATATTGGACACGTGTTTTGGCATTTTATTGCAAAGTATTCGAACAAAATTAATTTTTTTGTTGCAAAAATCAAAATTTAAGAGACCATATCTTTTAAACGCATCATTATATCATGATTTAGTTAATTGATTTAAATTCTATATTTTAGTACTAACAATTCATCTATACATTAAATTTAGTTAGCTTGTTTAGTTTTTTAAACTATTGTAATTAAGTACTAATTATTGTCTTCTATTACATAACATTGATAACAAAATCTATAAATAATTACAATAGAAAAAAATTAATTTACAAATATTTAAAAAACTAAACAAGCTAACTAAATTTAATGTATAGATGAATTGTTAGTACTAAAATATAGAATTTAAATCAATTAACTAAATCATGTATAATGATGCGTTTAAAAGATATGGTCTCTTAAATTTTGATTTTTGCATTAATTTTGTTCGAATACTTTGCAATAAAATTAAAAACAAAACACGTGGATTTAGTATAATTAGCAATTTATAAAACTTTAATATCTATTATAGTTTTCGAGATATTGGTCTGACCAGTGATTTTTAAATAATAGTAGCAAAAATTTTTTTTGATTCATTTCCATTCTAAAGAACTCGTTCATCAAATCGTGTATGTTGCCTTAAAAACAATGGGAGGTCTGACCAGTGATTTTTGGTGATGAACTATAAAGTGAATTCAGTTACGCATAAGAAGTATAATCAACATATTTCCAAATGTTTGGGACCACTGTTTTTGGGCAAACAGTTTCTGTCCTTATTTTTAATGAAACGCAAGTTTTAAAAGGGGTTTTGTTTACAAATGATTTGCACCACTAATTTGGTCGCAGCGGGGGATCACCACAAGCGAAACCCAACACTCATTATAAACTATAGTTAGGTATTCATAACAAAACAACTTTCGACTCTTCGGTAGCTTATCTATGATAATAACTACTCTCAAAGTTTACTAAAACAACACATTCTTTGTCTATCTGTTTGGTTAGTCATCTCTAAAATTATTTATTTATTGATACAACTGTAGGACTAAAATACATGTAAGGAATTCAATAAAAATGTTTAAAAAGAATCTAAATATCCATTCAATTATTACAACATATACTCACATACATACACATACACATACACATACACATACACATACACATACACATACACATACACATACACATACACATACACATACACATACACATACACATACACATACACATACACATACACATACATATGCACATATACACAATTTGTTTTTACAAAAAAATCAATCACTGACTAAATGATAGTCAACAAAATCAATATAAATTTGGCACTAATTTATAATCTAAAATAATTGAAAAAAACTTATTTATAACAACTTTTCTCTCTCTCTCTCTCTCTCTCTCTCTCTCTCTCTGAAAAAGTAGTTTGTCTCTCTTAAAGTGCTATATTGAGTGTATATATAAATACATATAAATAATCACCTGTAGTGAGTGAGCACTTGGATCTACATATTTGTTTGGCCATAGATTGTTAGTGTCAATCACAGACTCACTTTAGTGGATATCAAACAAATACAGTACTAATGGTTTTCTGGTTATATCTGACAGTTTCACACAAAACTATAACTGTTATAATTGTTTCATTTTCCTAATATTGTTTGACTGACTATTTGGTGAACCAAATAACTTGAAGCTATATTTGCATAGATTTTATGACACAAGAATTCAATTCATGACAACTGGTTTAACATTTTGATTGACTTAATATTTAACTCATTTATGAAATATTTGTTTTGTTGATCTATATATATATATATATATATATATATATATATGGATGCAAATTTTTTATACCATATTTATATACAATAATAATAACAATAATTATATAACAAATACTATATATGTTAAAATTGGTATATTTCTAATGTTTGCAATGTTTAAAATTAAAAGTAATATATTTCTTATAAATAATTTATATATAATGTATATATATATATATATATATATATATATATATATATATATTCTCTAAAGAATTCTAGATGTTTTAGACTAATCAAACTGTTTTCAAATTTTCTAATCTATTAAAGCATACAATTATATTTGTGAGATTTAGTCTGTTATTTAAAGCCGTTTTTTACTTAAATCTGGTGTTTTTCTGTTGTAAAAAACAATTTCCTTTATATAATGAATCTTTTGTAATGTGTGACCAACTATTAACACCTTCATCATCACCTCATTATATGATTATTGTACTGAAAAACGCTTTTATAATAGACTTAATGTTTGGGTACAAGAATTCTTTGTGTTATTATATACTGTATATAATACATGTAATAATAGTGTCCGATATATCATATACTGTATAATGTTTGGCTAAAAACATGAAATGTGTAACTATTGTTGTGTCACTTACTCTTCGTGAGCCTTAAAAAGCAATAAAAAAAGTGTTTCACTAAAAATCACATACTATTTGTGTTAAATCATATAGTTTTCACATTGAAAATCACGAACTTATAATTTATTACAAACACAATAACTGCTTTTTTACACTTAAAAATATAACTTATGTGCAAATGGTATTTGGATTGTATTTTTAATAACTTTTTTCTCTATTTTCACTATCATATGGTCACTCAATAGACACTTATTGTATTTGTTGTAAAGTATGAAAATTGAGAAAAATATAAGTGTTTAGCTAACAGTCTCTATCTTTGTATTTTTTTCTCTCCCTTTTGTCATTGACTATTGAAACACTTTTTAATCAACATATCTATTGATGTACACATAGTTATAGAATATACAGTATATAAGTGAGGGTGCAGTTTAAATAAGAGTAAGTCTCACTTAAATTAATAACTTATAGGTTGCGTCTACTTGTGGTTGTTATTGTTTAGTCGACTTTTACGATGAAATGGACCGATAGTTGAATCCAAAAAAAAACTATCACGAATTGCCCCATTGCTCAGTGTTTTACTATATCTATAAATAAACTAAAGGTATAGTAGGCATAGATGATATAGTTGGAATGGTTGGGAATAGTAGGTCTAGTATTTATGTATATATATATATATATACAGTATATAAGTGCTCAAACAAAGTACAATACCGGCACCGGAGGCTAGTTTTGAATTCCATCTTTTGACTGCCCTTTCAAACATGTAATGCTCTCCCATAACATATGATAACTTTCTATACATTTTCATCCCTTAATATTTAGTAACAAACAACAAACTCATTGACTTATTATCAACATTTTCCTATATTAACTATATATATATATACGGTATATACTGTAGTATCTATGTTTACAATATCTTGAATAACAATTTATCATTATAATAATTTAATTTATTTGTTTTTCATTTTGTGTTAGATTTTTATCACATACATTTATTGATTTTTTTAAATGTTAATTTTATTATCAATATAAATATTTTTTTTATCTAATGTTATTTGTATTTTCATTAATATTGTATCGATTTATTAAAAAATATAATTTATCTTGATGTGTTATATTATAGATTTAAAAATAGGAAAATTTAATTATTGTCCTAATTATAAAAAGTCTAGGTTATATAAAAATCAATACTATAATAATTTGCATATTATTATTGTAGTTTAATCATATAGTGAGCATACCATAAGTCAACCACAAATTAAAAAGTTGTTTATTATTAAAAGATTTGATGTTATCTAAAAAAAATAATGTTTCACTATTTAAAAGAAATAAAAAACAACAATTTAATATTTTATAGTAATTTATTTTCTATAGAGTATAGTATATAAAATTTTATATTTAGACACTAAATTTATGTCCTGACACAAGCAATAAAATGTTTACTATTTTTGTTTGTAAATCCTTTTTTTTATAATTTTTTAAAAATAAACGATTACTTAATGATTTACAAAATATAAAGTTATTTATGAGTTAATAGCGGGAAACTAATCGATAAGGTTTTTGTCGGTTACTTCAATAATAATTTAATATCTAATTAGTAAATATCCTGAAAAAAAGTTTATACGAATTAGAAGTAATTTAATGTATAAATATAAAATCTACAATTATAATAAACAACTATACGATTAGTTAAAGTAATTAAATTTTCAATTAAAAATTTATTTTAAAAACTTTAATTGAAGCGGCAATTATGCAAAAAATATATATTCGTGAGAAAAGGTGTCATTTATATACATTACATATCAATAAAGTCTAGAAAATTAGTTAAAACAACTTTTTAAAGATAAATCATCAAAAGATATACTGTTTTAATATTTTTTTAATTGTTTAACTAAAAATCTAAATATCAATACACTGTACTATACATATAGTATATAATTTATATATATTACAAAATCTGATAACAACGATAAATATTTTTGTCGACAAAATAAGATATACATTTGATAAAAGAGTCATTTGAACAAAATTTTATACATTTTATAGTTTTTTTTATATTTGTTTATCATTTGACGACTTTTTATTTTTTTCTAAAATGTATTTTTGTAAAAACCAGAAACTTACTTTTATAGTACAGTATTTTATGTAATAATAAATTTTTTCCAAAATAAAAACTTTTCAAACTAGTGAGTTACATGTATTTATTTATATACAATTTATTTAGTAATGTGTTTTGAGGCAATAATAATGGCCCAATAAATAAGTGATTGAAAGAGCTATTTGTCACTACACTTAATGTCTGACTGTCTCTCAAAATCCATAGCTTTTCACTGTTTAGGTGTAGTTTTAGGTGATGTCTGTTAAAAGTATTCACTCTTTATATAAATATATACACTTATATTATATTGTACTGTATATAAGCGTATGGTTTGTTGAAATTGAATAAAAAGTTAACTTATGTTTTGTTGTATTGTATTTCCAATTGTATTAAATAGTAAATACTGTACAGTATGTCTATAGTGTGTATATTGAATAGTGAAGTAACACTATGTGGGAGGTATTGACTCAAATTTAAACAACGATTTGGAAAAATTTTAATGACTTTAAAACCGATAGAATTTACTGATAGTTAGCATTTAAGAGTCAAATAGTTTATAATAATAATAATAATACTATTAAATGCAGTTTACGTTTAGCTCATCTCTACTGTCAGTCTC